TTGTTTTTTAACAACCCCTTTAAGACTTCTTTCATGTGTGGCTTGGTATTGATAAATTGCTTTAGTTTTTGCTTTTCACTGAAGCTCCTTACTCTTCCTTCTGTCTTGCATGTTAATTTGGCAAGGTAAGATATTATAGACTGGAAATATTTTTCCCCTTAATGACTTTAAATATCTCCTGCCAATCCCTTCATACTTTTAATATTTCTGCTGGAAAGTCTGCTGGGACTGCTGATGTATTCCCATACAGGTTACCCTTTTTTCTCTTGATTTTTTTTTTTTAGTATTCTGTCCTTGTCATTGACTTTCAGCAGCTTTATTATAAAGTGTCTTGATGTATGTCTATCTGGTATTATTTTGTTTGGAATTCTGAGTCTCTTGGACCATGACGTCTGGTTGATTTCCCAGACTGAGATGGTTTTCACTGATTACTTCTTTAGACAAATTTCCTATGCCTTTCGTCTTTCTCCTCTTCTGGGATGCCCATGGTATGAATGCTATTTCTTTCTAGATTATTCTTAAAAAAAAATTATTTCATTTACATACAAGAACCGGGGTCTAGGCCAGAGGTGCAGGGCATGAGAGGATTCACTAGAGACAGAGTGGGGAGCAGAACAGGCAGACTGACTGAAATACACTGCTGGGAGAGACAGGAGAGGGTGCCATGTGGGTCAGCTCCCTGGCTGGGGATCAAACTCATGCCATAGTAGCTGGCAATAGCTTGATAGCACTGAGATTTTAACCCCTGGACCCGCAGGGAGGCCCTGTCTAGATTATTCTAGTGGGATCTTACACTATTTTAATTTTTTGAATTCTTTTTTCTCTATCTTATTTTATGCGTATGTTCTCCAACATTGCACTTTCAGGTTCACTAATTCTCTCTGTTGCTTGTATTTGTCTGTTGTTGAGTCCATCCTTTGTATTTTTTAATTTGGTTATAGTATTTCTTAGCTCCATTATTCTATTTGTAACTACCCATATTTTCTTTCTCTTTATTCTGTTGCTGCTTTATCCTCCATTGTTTGTTCGTTCATTCATTCATTTGTTTGTTTGTTTTAGTTCCATAAGCATTGTTAAAATTACTGCTTTGAACTCCTCTTCAGGTATGTTCAACAGTTCTGCTGAATTGAGAATCCTCTAAGGCTATGTTTTGCTCCAGCAATTGTGGTTTGTTCTTCTGTCTCTTCATTTTTATTTTTTATGGGTTGTAATAGGCATGGACTTTTAGACTATTGACTTTGCACTTATTGAAGTAATTGGAGAACTGGCACCAGCAATGGAAGGTACGTAGAAAAGGAGTAGGTAGGACACTGAAGGATCACCTCCAGTGAGCATCAGAGACTTAAGCTTCTTACTGTGGTGTGGGTACCAGGGTTGTGTGGTGGGGAGCCACAGTGTTCCCCTCCTATAGGTCAGCTCCTCCACCTAAGTCCTGTGGAGCCTCATGTCAGTTTCCACCTCTAGACCATTTTTGAGCACTAGATGTAGTGCCGGGTGTGGTTTACAGTTCATATGGGGTGACAGGCTGAGAGTGGTTCTTTTCCATGAAAGATTCTTGACCTGGGGTGTTTGCTCTGTTATTAGTAGGTTCTTAAACTTTGCTTTATGTGCATATTCATTTGTTGTCTTGATTTTAGCCCTGAGATGGGTTGTGGCAGGTGTTTTCACTATTTCAGCCTTGACTTTGAGCAGTAGCCTCCTCTATGAGGAGACGCGTGTGATCTGACTTCTTCCTCACCACCACTAACCCCCACACCTTTTCCTCCCCATCAGCCCCCTTCTATCCTTGCCACATAGTTCAGGCTCCAGCTGTTCTATATCAAGAGCCTCACACTCTCGATAATCCTGCCTCTGCATCCTGGCTCCTGTATCTTCCCAACAGTGTATCCCGTGTTCTGGGTAGCATCTCTTTGTGCCTCCTTACCCAGTGCAGTGCAGTCCCTGACATTGGCATGTGCCCCTGGGCCAGCAACTGTAGGGGGTTTTGTATAGCAGCTGCCCCTCCCTCTTGTGGGTTATTCTTCCCCAGTATCACTGTAAACATAGTTCAGTTAAAGGTTTTCCTACCCCTTCCCCATTTTTCCTGTAGGGAACTTTGGCTCTGTTCTGCTATAATCTAGCTGTTAGTATATGAAGGAGGTAAGCCCAGGGCATTCATTCTGCTGCCCTCTTGCCAGACTCCTGCAACTAAAATTCTATTTGAATTGATTTAAATTTTAAAACTGATGATTTTTGGAAAACTCTTGGCGTAACTTGTCTATGTAAATGTGCTTTTTCATCTGTAAATCTTATGAAAGCTAAATACAGACCAAGTAATTTCCAATGAAAATTTAGCATATTTTTGACGCAAATTGAGATGTGCTATAAATGTATAATATACACTAGCTTCTAAATATAATAAAAAGAATGTAAAATATACCATTAATAATTTTTATATTGGTTACATGTGGAAATGATAATGTCTGGATATTGCATAACAGGTTAAACAAAATATATTATTAAAACTGATTTCCACTGTTTATTTTTACATTTATTTATTGTGACTACTAGATAATGTAAAATTAAATATGTGTAGCTTTCATTGTATTTCGGTTGAGCAGCATAAATATCAGATGTGGACAGTGGCATGAAAGCAATCAGAAGTCATATAGGGTGACAAGGGTACGTGTTACCTCTGAGCATTAGAGCCTCTAACTCTACAGACCTAGGCCTGTCTTCCAGCTCTAAACTTATGCTTAAGAGCATAAGTCACAAATTCATTGTTGTAGGGACCAGGCACATAACCTCCTATGGAGAGGAGTGAGATAAGGCTACAAGTAGTGGCCAATTTCTTTAAAGACAACACACACATACACACACACACACACACGCATACAAAATCCCAGTCAGTGTCCCTTAGTCAGCAGATGACCAGTGTGCCACCTCTGCACTGTTCCATGGAATCAAAAGAGAATCCATGGAGACCCTCAAACATGGTCACTTCATTGCAAGAGTGAAGTAACTCAAGCCAAAGGAATGAGTACTGTGCTACTTAGAACTAGAGCCAGGCTAAGAGCTACATCCCCTGATGTCCCCTGGAACACACCATCTTCAGCTTCAGGTGCAGGCAAGTACATGTCAGTCAGAATTGAGAAAGGACCCAAGCTACAAAGATCTGGCAAGCTACAAATGTCAGGCAAGCTACAAAGATCAGGCAGTCTGCCACCTACCCTAAAAGACCAAGCCTCCCTTTCCTGACACTGAGTCCATTATGAGGAATTGGAGTTGGGGCCAGAAGGCTTTCTATCACATCAGAGAGGTAGAGATAGGGAGAGACAGGGAGGGAGACACATACACACCACCCCGTAGCATCTATTCACAACTCCAGAAGACTTGAGGTAGGGGGGAGCATGAAATAAAGATTTCTTTGACTAGCATGGATAGCAAGGAGGAGACAATGGAAGTAAATGGGAAAACCGTGATGGTCTAAGGGAGAGAGATTCTAACCCTGCACCAAGAGAACGAAGAGAAGGCCAAGGCACCATCCTGGAGTGGCTGGCAGACCTTGGTGGGGTGGAAAGACTAAGGAAAATAGTGGAGGGGGCGTGAGGGTAGGTGGCAAAGAGAAAAGAAGTGAAAGAGCCCCCCTGAAGCTCTGCTTTTAACAGGAAAGAAGTGAACCTCCTTGATTTACCATATCGGACCCAAACAATTTTCACACCAGAAGTATAGTCTACAAAATGCTTCCCTCCAATCTGCCCCCGTAGATATAATTTTACCAAATACAACCATTCAATCAAATATCTAAATTTATCAATCTAAGCAAAATACAGTTCGTAACAAAGAAAAGCAATTTTCATATTTTATTACACAATATTGTTCATCATAGAAAAAGCTTTAATGTTCTTAATTAAATATGGTAGCAAATTGTTAGTGTTGCCAAAGAGATTTTCTGTCCTTGAAAAAATTAACACCTGTTTGCAAACTAAAGAATTGCTAGAATTGATTCAAACCCTTTGTTCTCTTTTCAGGACCCAGACTCTTGATCTCTTTTCTAACACCTAACAGGTGCTGAAATAATATTTGCTGACTAAATTGAGTGTTCTTTATCCCTAGTTTTCATTTCCTGACCCCAAACTGGACCTTTATGCATGGGGAAATATCCCCACCCACGAAATCCCAGAGTAGCCAGGCTTTTTCAAGTGTCTTTGATTCAGAACATTGGTTCAGAGACACTTGCCCGAAGGGAATGACTGAGGGTTTCAGAGAGAAAGAAACACACAAAGGCAGCCACCATAGGCAGAAACATAAAGTGCTAAGATATCACGTAACAGAAAGACATACAGATTCAAGGATGGGGTGACTGCAGGAGATAGCAACAGCAAAATGAAGTCAGAGACTTAAAATGCACACTAGTCAAGATAAGGAGATTTAAAAAGTGGGCAAGAATGATACTTTGCAATTTTCTCTTAAACTTTAATCTTTTAATGATAAAGATAATGGCAGAGAGAGAAGACAAGGCAGGGGTGAGAGAATAAAGAGATAAAAGAAAGAAAAGGACAGCAAGATAGACAGCCAGGCACAACTGCCCATTTTTAGAGCTGGACTTGAACTTGGTAATAGCCACCTCTTGCCCACTGGTTGGGATCCTTGATGCCTCCAGCATTCCAAGCCCTCTCCTGGCATGGAGAATTCCTTGCAAGACCAAATCTGCTCTCCAGCATCCTGCATGAAACTTTCTCACCAGCTCCCTGCCTTTTCGATTCCTAAAGCATGAAAGGTTCATACTACATCCCCTAATTACAAGGTATATGCTATTTTAGAGTTGACCCTCAGCTCACAAAAGCTGCAACTTTATTTCCCGCAAGAGAAATGTGGTTTCCTCAAGGCTCCAGACACTATCTAATAAATTCCTGTATTCCCCCATGCTACACAGGCCAATGCTGGGTATTACTAAGTGCTCAGTGAATACTTGTGTGCTGACCAGTCCCCAAAGGGTGCCAACAGGGCAACCTAAGGGTCCTTTGGTCTATCAAAAAAAAAAAAAACAAAAAAACAAAAAACAAATAGCTTCCGGGAGGCTGGACGCTATGCTGTAGCCATCTCCTAGGCTCCTGCGCCTCCTGCCGGCCAGGAGGGGATCTACACTATATGCAGGACAAAGCTGGTTGTAAGGATGGTCCTGACCAGGGAAGGCTGGCAAAGGCACTCCAGCCTCACCAGTGACCCCAGACATCTGTCAAGGGTTCTGACAATATTGTTGAACAGAGCCAGCTGCTGTATTCTTCTGTGTTGGAGCAAATACCACAGCCTCCCAGTGCCCAGTGTCCTTCAAACAGCATCCCACACTGCCTGGCATCAGCCCAGGGGATGCTCAGAACTTCTCGTCCAGTTCTAGGGCCTGGTTCTCCAGGGCCAGCCTGTGGACTGGGGCTGGGCTGCTCCCACTCAGGTAGTTCTGGATGACGGAGGCACAGTCCAGCCGCTCCATCATGGTCATGAGGTAGTGCAGCTCCTGCAAGCTGCCGTTCTGCTCCTCAAACAGCTCCAGGATGGCAGCTGCTGGGCTGCGCTGGCAGGACAGGAACCTGGCCAGGAGGTGGGGAGAGGAGGAGAAAGGATGGAAGTGCACTGAGGTGAGATCTACTGCCACACACACAGCCTCCTATATCCCAGCTCTGGTCCTCATCCTGCCTTGCCCATTTTCCAGGGTGGTAGGATGACCCAGGATTTTGAGCCTGAGATTGTCCTGGCTCAGAGGCTACTTCTCTCTAGGATTGAGTTTCCTCTGCTTATACCCAGGGCTTGCATGAGAGGACTCTAAGGTTGCTTCCAGCTCTAATGTTCCTCATTGCCTTCTCTACCCCACCCACATCCGAAACATGCTCCCTCCCTCCTGACTGCAGCCTGCTAACTGGCTCTCCCCTCTCTCACAGGCCATACATCCTGCCCACAAAAAAAAAAAAAAAAAAAAGTTTTTCTACATCGTGGCTTTAATCATGAGCCTCCGCTGCTTCAAGAATCTGTACTAAGCAGCCCATGCTCCTGACTTTTCTGCTCATCCAAATTCTGGCCTTACCCTGTTTTTCTCTGATCTTTTCTCCCCTCCTCCCATCCTGAACCTTCCTTCCTCAAGCCTTTCCCATCTTGCACACAGCACTCCTACAACCACCTCTGGTACTTGCCCAGAGGGAAAAATTGAACCCCTTTCCCACCACCTGCTTCCTGAGCCCAAAGTCCCACCTCCCAGATGGAAGTGACCATCCTGTACCCCTGATTCTGTGATATTCTTGCTTCAGCTATTTTGTGTGTTTATTTTCAACTGCTGTGCAGTCCTGGCTACATATGATAAGGCACAAGGAACACTTGTCTTTATTTTCTAAGCTCTCTGTAACTCTCAGTGGAGCATAGCTCCTCGGGGCTGGATACTTGATAAATGTTTAATAAATAGATAACAGTAAAATCCATCCTGTTTTCAGGATGCAGCTCTAGTCCATCGAGGTGAAGTCTTCCCTGACCGCTGCACTCATCGAAGTCTGGATTCTGAGGCTTAGCTCAGAATTGTTCCACTGGTTTCTCTTGACAGAGACCATGGCTGCACTGCCCCCATTCCTGCTAACACTTATTGAATTGACATGTGCCAGGCACTTGGCTACATGCCTCACATACATCACCATACAGCCCGCCACTCTGTACAGACAGGCACAGCAGGTCAAGCACTCAATATGGGTCCAGTTCTTGCATGTTAATTGGTTTATTATAAAATATTTGCTGAGCATCTACTATGAACCAGACATCTTTCTAGGTCCTGAGAATACAGGGATAAATAGAAAGAGTTGCCCTTTTTTGAAGGATATGGAAGACAGCAGCCAATCTTACTGCTAAGTTGCTCCTTTGTCTATGTCTATGCTATAATGATTTATAATAACAAACATATATACTGGGTTCTGCCCCTGGTTTCTAGCATAGAACTCCCCAAACCCTTGCAACTTCCTACATGATAAAAATAGCAGATCTTTTGTTCTAATATTCAGTCTAATATTTGGTTCCTGACACAGGGCTCCTAAATCCCTTAGTATCTCCAGGACCATAAGAGTATCTTTTGTTCTAATAAGGTGATTCTGGGTGGAGTCCTGGGTGATTCCAGAATGGGGGCTGATGACCAAAAAGACCAATCCATTATCAGAAGCTTGGGTTTTTACCCCCACTGCCCTCCCATTCTGTTGAGAAGGAAGAAGAGATGAAAGTAGTTAATGATCAATCATGACTACGTGATGAAGCCTCCATAAAATTCCCAGTTATAGAGGGTGGGGAGATCTTCCTATCAATAGTTGGTGAACATGTGGCAGTGCTAAGAAAGCAGTGTGCCCAGAGAGCACATGGAAGCTTTTTCATATACCTTGCCCAATACATCTGATTGTTCATGTAATCTTTATCATAGCCTTTAATAAACCAGTAAATAAAAGTGTCTACTTAAATGAAATGGAAATTGACAAGGGGGTTGTTGGAATCTCCAATTTATAGCCAATTGGTCAGAAGCAGAAGAGATAACCTGGTTTTGCCACTGCAGTCAAAAGTGGGTGGAGAACTTGTAGGATTGAGCCCTTAACCTATGGGTTTGGCTGCTAGTGTCTTGAGGACTCTACCCTCCAGATAGTGTCACAGTTGAGTTACAATGTAGGACACCAAACTGGTGTGGCAGAGAACTACTTAGTGTGGGGGCAACCTTCACACATTTGGTGACCAGCAGAGTCAAAAGTGTTCTGGGTAAAAGTCAAGGAGACACACAGGAAAGAAACACACATATGGAACAACTGGTTTTTTTCCCCACACAGATATGGTCCAGGTTCCAAGGTGTCCTGAGGACCCCAAATCCCAGTCCTCCCCCCTCCTATCCACAGATCTCACCCTTCTTACCGGATTTTCATGCCACAGAGCCCCAGGTGGGAGGCCAGTCGGCGCCAGTCATTGCCTGAAATGCTGTTTGGCTCCAACAACATCTGCAGCTGCTCAAAGAGCTCAGGGGGCAGCCTACAGCAGGGGAAAGGGTGTTCTTAGAGGGGAGGATCAAAGAGACCCAATCTGGTCCATGCATTCCCTTCCAACATTGCACTCTTCCTGCAGGTACAGAGGCCGTGATCTCAAACATGCGGCCCCAGCAACCCTTCCTCCACCTCACCTGTTGCATGAGGCTGGCTGGGAGACAGGGGGTGGCACGGCCCAGGATTCCTCTTCTGATACCTGGAATCTGAGGATTTCCATATACTTCGTCTCCAAGCCCTGGGTCAACAGAGGGTTAGGGTTAGGCTTAGGGGTCATAGACATCACCCCAAGCAGGACACTCGAGAACCTACCTCCGTCCCTCATCTCTCTCCTTCAACCTGGCACCCAGAGCCATTTTACCAGGAGACAGGCTCAAGCCACCCAGGACCTCTAGCTTCTGCTTCCCCAAACCTAGAACCTTCAGCCTGCTTGCCCCCTGAGCTCTGGGACCAGAAGACCAACACGTCTGTAGGTCTCCTTAGACACCAGGAGAAACCCAGGGTGGGGCCACGGGTAGGAGGAGGTCATTCAGGATAGAAACACTGAATTCAGACATACTTTACTCCATTCTCCATCCCTCCTTTCCTAGTCCTTCCTCCCTGAGGGGAGGACTCTCCAATAAGATGCCGCCAAGGTTCCCCAAAGACTCTCAGCCTTGATTTCTCCATCTCTTCCCTTGGGACAGTGAGATAGCTAACTCGAATCCCCCCTACTCAAGACCCCGTCCTGGTCACTCCCCACACTGGCAATACACATATCATCTTCAGATGGAAACAATCAGCCTAGAAAGATACCTCTTTTATTTGATACTAAGTGCCTCTGAGTTGGGAGTGGGGGTTACTCTAGGATTTGGCTCTTTTACCCTTGTATAAGATTCATCCATAAGTAGAGCAGAGAGAGTCAGGGACGGAAGGCGGCCTGGAGGCCAGGAAACCTAAGCGCTGAAAGAATGCAATCATCACCTGGCATGTGATCAGGGCCATATTTACTGGGTACCAAACCCCTCACCCACTTCGCCCAGGAACCATCATCCCCCAGCTCTGCCCTTCTTTGGCCCTTCAGCTCCAACTCACATCCTGAAAGGTGTGCATGGTGACAATGATCTCATTGGTTAGTGTCGAGCAGTCTTCATTCTCACTGGCTACAAAGAGGAGAGGATATGGCAGGTGAGAGAGGTAAAGGCCAGGGCTGAGAGAGCAGGGGATGGGAAAAGGACTCTATGGTAAGGCTTTGGAGATCTAAAGAGGCCGGGGGCAGAATGCCGCATCTTTTTCTCTGCAAAGATCTGTGTGGCTTCTCCCTTTAAGAGAAGGTTTTTGTGCTTGGCTGAATGAGGCGCTGCAGAGCCCCAGGGTTGACAGGCAGAAGATGGACAGAGTTACTGAACTACCTGCTTTTCTCCGGAAGCAGAAGGAGCGGAAGGGGCACTTTCCATGCCAGATGTGAAGATGGGGAACGAGCTGGGAACTGCTGTCATCCACATTCTCCCAACCTGGGGAAGGGACAGAGAACGGAAGACCTCAGAGAGTGGCGCTCCCCTAGCATTCAAAACCTACTGCTTGCAGGTGCTATTCAGGGTTCTGTGGGGAGAGATGGGGAGGGAGCAAAGAAAGCACAGTCAAGTGGATGGGAGGCCCCAGAGTCTGCGGGGGAGAGGTTGGAGGTAAGCTTCTACCACCACACACTTAGCATGCAGACTCGGCCGCACTCTCCCCTCCACAGCTCCCTGAATGCCACGCACACAAGTGCAATCCACACTCACCCAAACAGCCTAAGCCCCACTGGCCATTCCTGCAGCCCACACCAGGAAGGAAAGAGAACCCAAGCAAAGCAGGGACTCTGACAGCCTCTCCATCCAGTGGGACCATAAAATCCAACCCTCTCTCCCTGCTTCTGCGGGCACAACACCTCTCATTTCCTCCATCCCAAATCACTGCCCTCCCTCAGAGGGGCCAGGGCTGAGTGGGCCACCTGGGAGAGGGAGGGGGCTCCCCAAGACCTAAGTAGAAGCCAGAAGGTCCCTTGAAGCTGCTGCCTGCCCAGAGTGTCCCAAGGACACTGGGGGTTCCCAGATTTTCACGCCGGGAGAAGGCGCTGACCCTCCCTATTGCCCGGTTCCCCAGAGCCCGGTCCCCCTCACCATCAGAGATATACTTGAGCTTCAGGTACTGGTCCCCTCGGGCCCCAGTGAAGTCGAAGAGCTGGCAGGGCCCACGCAGGCGCCCGCCATGGGGCTGCTCGTTGGTCAAAGCCCACTGCAGGGCGCAGGGCGTGTTGTTGAGGAAGTAGACGCGCAGCTGCACGTGGGACTGGCCTGGTGCCAGCGGGGAGCAAAACAGAGCCAGCTGCAGCCATTTGCGGGCTTCCTGGCCTGCAGGCGCTTCCAGCACGCAGGTGTAGAGGCTGTGGAGGAAGAAATGGAGGACCATGCACTGGGGTGGGGGCTGGGGAGCCCGTGCACCTGCCACCCAGCTCTGTCAGGCCCAGGGGCCAACGGGGAGAGAAGAGCAGTGTAAGGCATGTATAGGGAGGAACTGGGGTCGGGGGACGGCCAGGGAGTCACCTCACATGACAATCAACAAGTAGAAGAACCAGTGGGTATTCCCCCGCATGGGAGAGAAGGGAGTGGACTTGGGGCGACCAGGCTTGGAAGGGGGTCCCACACACACATGGCCTTGCTCTGGTCAGTGGGTGGCAAGGAGTCTTGGGAAGTAGAAGGGCTGAAGAATCTAGAAAGCGCTAAGGACAGACATGAGATGAACAGTGTCTTAATGGAAACAAACTGCCTTAGACAGTTGGGGACAGTCCTGAAGAGGGGTGTAGGGAAGAAACAGATGATTTTAGACATAGAATGAGGATGGAAGGCTGGGGTTGAGTCAGACCTTTCTCGACACACAGAGACAGCAGTGTGGCAGGCTGTGCCATCCTAGACAGGGCCAGAGGGGCAGGGAAGGGACACAGGGGGATAAGAAATCCACAGGTCATCTGGGCAGTTCCATAAGAGACAATGAGGAGGCACAAAGAAGAGGGGCAGAAAGGACGGGCTCACAGGTCCCCGCCTACCTGAAGTGGGAGAGCTGGATGCGACACTCGTCCCGGGAGGTGTGGGCCCCCGACCGGCCCAGGGGCTTCCAGGCCTTGGCATCGAGCAGGGTGGTGTTGCTGCTATAGGTGCGGGCCTGGCTGGGCTGCTGGGCACAGTGCTTGAACGTGAGAGTGCAGGGCTTCAGGAAGGAGGCCCCATGAGGGCCACATGCCACCACCGGGCTCACCAGCCCCTGGGCGTGGGACAGTGACGGGGCATCTGACAGGTCCCACACCAGGATCAGGGACACCCGCTCCTGGCGGCCCACAGCCACAGCACCTGGGGAGGGGGGAGCTGAGATGGGCCTGGCACGTTGGCATGTCCCTTCCCCAGGAGAGGCCTGGCTAGAGAGCTAGGGGGTGGGATTAGGAGCCCAGGAGAGAGGATGCCCACAGGGCACACTGGAGGCAGCATGGAAGGAAAGCTAGTCGACTGTACACAACTACCCCTGCCCTCCAGGGCTGCTGCTAACCCATATGAGGCCTGATGTGAACTTGCAAAAGGTGCTTTTCTTTCAGATACTACATCTCCCTATTGGAGAGTTGTCACAACATACTGTTCATTAGAACAAGACATTTTACTCCCACCTGCCAGGAATTCGTCATAAAAATACGTAATCTATCCATCTTTGGAGTCAATAGTTTTGGAGTCAATGATTTTCAGAATTATGAAGATGTGGATGAATGATGCGGCACCCTCGTACGTGTAACATGCACAGCGCCGTGCTGAGAAGGAAAGTGGGTGCTGTTACCTGGTGGGATGAGCAGGGAGATGCCGGTATCCTGGAGTATCAGGCAGCCGCCCCGGTGATCCACCTCTCGGGCCGAAAACACCAACAGTTTGTTCATCAGCTCTCGGATGATGGTCTGGCCTTGGGTGGGGGTGTGCAGCTCCTGGTAGAAGGCGGCCATTTCTGGCAGTGTGGCTGGCAGGCTCTGCCTTGGGGACTCATTTTCTGGTGGGGGAGTGGGCTGGGACACAGACTCATCTTGGCTATCCAGATTCCAGAAGGTCCTCTGCAGCCAGCGAGGACAGTGGCATCGAAGGCACTGGGCCAGAAGGAGGGCACTGGCCACTGGCACCCCCACCAGCAATAGGAACTGGGCGGGTTGGAAGGAACTCTCGTGGGCGGGTAACATGGGCCTGGTCACTCGATGCTGCCAGCTCCCCTGCACCCCTGTGCTGGCCACGCCAAGGGTCTGGAGAGAAAAAGAGGTCAGTGCCAGGCTGAGCGCTTTCAATGCCTTGGAGGCCAAGACTTGGCTTCCAAGTAGCTGCAATCAGGAAGCAAGTTGCATTCCAGTGCACCCCAACATTCCAGTCAGATCAATTCCCTTAACACAACTTCACTTCTTTCTCTTACTCAAGCACCTACCATGGCTCCCCATGATGATGTGAGCTTGGGTTTAGAGTTAGAGGAGGTAAGTTCAAATGCCACATTGGTCACTGTGTCTGAGTGAGCGTAAAGTGCCTCAGTTTCCATATCTATCAAAATACTGACCTTCATCTTCATATGCTGATATGAAAAGATCTTTAAGTGGAAAGTGTGTCACAAAGAGACATCTCTGATCTCATCAACATAAATAAAACTATGGGGCCTCCCTGGTGGCGCAGGCAGTTGAGCGCCACCTTGTGAAGCTGTCCGCAGCCTCTGCAGCGCAGGTTCAATCCTGGCCGGCCAGCGAGAATCACACAAGGCGCAGCAGACCTCTCCTGCCTCGTCCACTGCTCCCCTCAGCAGTCTATTCCTCAGTCTGCCTGTTCTGTTCCCCGCTCTGTCTCTGGTGAATCCTCTCACCCTCCCACGCATCTGGCCTATACCCTGGTTCTTATATAAAAATAAATAAATCTTAAAAAAAAATAAATAAAACTATGGCTAAGAATAAATATTTATGGGTGTTTGTATGTAAATAACAGAGAAAGATCAGGAGCAGCTGGGCAAGAAAAATATAATGTGAGCCACATCCCAAAAAGCCAATAAAAATAGAAGAAAAAAAAGAGAGGAAAAAAAATAGGAGAAATTAATTTTAATAATATTTACTTTAAGCCAATATATTAAAAACAGTATCATTCTCAATGGTAATTGACATAAAAACATTAATGAGCTGCTTTACATTCTTTTTTCACCCTCACCCTTTGAATTCCAACCGTATTTCTCACTAAAGTCACATCTCAGTTAGGACTTGCTCTATTTCAAGTGCTCAGGAGTCACATAGGCCAACGATTCCTGTCTTGGACACTGCAGGTCTGGAAGGATACACCCCAAATTACCCTCTTGGTCATTACTGAGAGAAATGAGAAACTGACAAGATAGAAGGTATGAATGTGGGCTTTCAGTTTTCTTAAATTCTTTTATCTGTGTTCTTCGGATGTTTCACACCAAGCATGTACTTCATATCATGTTTGGTATCATTCTTTTTGAAAGCTGTTACAAGTGGGGGGTGTTGGGAAAGTTTCCTCTCAGCATCATCGTGAGGGTAGCTTGATATCATGAGGAAATCATGTGTAGATGATAAAGCACTATCCAAATATGTCTGTTTATTTATGCCCCTCCTTCTGCCAGAAAGGCCAGAATTTACCTCACCAGAACAGAGGAAATACAAGAGTAACAAAAGTAAAAGAGTAACAAAAGGGAAGCAAAAGGAAAAAGTAAACAAAGCTTCTTGTGAAGGTAGAGTAACGCAGGGCAAAGCTTACCCTGACCTCCACTCACCTGGTTACCAGGCAGGGCTGTCAGCTTGGGCTCTGGGACTATCAGCAGCCCCCTACAAAAGCCAGCTCTGCCTGAGGCCCTCCAGAACCCACAGCCTCTCTTTCCTACTTCCCCTCTCCCTGTTGGATACCCAGTTTCCAACATCTCTACACTGTGGCCAAGATGGGCTCCTCACAACTCATTAATGTTAATCTCTGGCCTCTGCTTGTGCTGTTCTCTGTCTGACATCTCATCTTCTCTCCCTACCGCCTCATCTACCCACCTGGACCACCCCCCCCTTGTGCTCAATAGCGCCTCCCTTGGCTCAACAGCCCGTGACAGTCTCGCTCCAGACCATCCAGAGCAGCTTGATTATATACTGTCATGTGTGGTTTTCCCACTCAAACGAACATTTTCTGAGCACCAGCTGTGTACCAGGCACTGTGGGATGTTCAGTCCTGCCAAAGATGATGTCTCATTCAGCACTCAAGGAGCTTTTGAGGAAAGGTAATTCCTTCACTCGGTAGCAGCTGAGTTCTGTGAATAATAGCTTCCTTCAAAGTCCTCACACCCCCTGTGGCTGATTCCCTAGGGTTTGTATTAGAAAAGTTTCTGGCAGCCATACACCCCCAACCCCCACAATCATACCACCCCCTGGAGCTCAGGCCTTGACCCTCCTCCCCAGACTGCAGCTCCTTACTTGCCCATCTGTATTCTTCCTTCTTTGGGACCCAGGCAACCTAAGCACCTAAATCCTCCCAGATGGAGACAAACAGTCCCTCTGTGACTTCAGGTGTGAGGCCTGGGGAAGGAGCAGCTCCCCAGTGTCCCCACTGAAAGATAGACAAGGGAGGGAAGGTTTGACTTTATTCCCTTTGCCTTAAAATCTCACCCTGCAGACAGGCTTCTTGCAGGGCACACAGGTGAAGCAGGGGAGCTGGGAACACCCCGAATCTAGCAGGAACAGGAGCTGGTACAGCAAGTTTCCCTTTACATACCATCCATTCCTTTTGGTTCTTCCCCATTAAAGATAATTGGAATTATAACTGTAATAATAGGAGCTAACATTTATGGAGTTTTACACCCCATTGCTGTGCTAAAGCACTCTATGTGGCCAATCTCATTTGCTCCTCACAGCAGCCTTATGAGCTAGGTGTTATTTTTATCTCTATTGGGCAGATAAGGAAGCCAAGTATTCTCCCTACAGTGAGGATGGACAGAAGATTATTAAGCTGCAACTAAAAGCAGAAGGAAGGATGAGCAGGGATGAGGAGGACTTCCAGAAACACTCCCTGTCTCTCCCTGCCCCTTCTTTTTCCCTGGATTTCTTCCCTTCCACTTCTTGAGGAAAAGAAGCTAGAAGAAAAAGAAACAAAAATAAAGTGAAAATAAATAGAAGGGTGTAGGGTAAATGGTTTTCAGGCTTTTCTGCCCTCCTACAATTAGGCTTCCCTGCCTGATGGGGCACCTGAGGTTGTTACATTGTTGTATAGCTGTTCTGTTTACTTCTGTGGGCCATGGGAGAAGTATTGATAAGGTCAGGCAGAGAAGCAGAAGCAGGAGAAGAGGAAGGAGAGAGAGAAGGGGAGAAAGAAGGCCAGAGAAGCCCAGAGTGAAGACTTGTGGGGGCTTGGAGGCTTCCTGCCTCATCCCACCCCAACCTGCCATGTACCTGGTTGCTGTACTACATGTAAAAGCTCAATAAAAGTCTGAGAAACCCACCGAGGGCTCCAGGACTCTCCTTTACCTGCCTATCTGCTCGGATCCTAGGTGAACCAGCTCTGTGACCATCCTGGCACTACAAGGGACAAAAGGCGCATGCTTTGCTGCATGGAGAATGATGCACCGAGGCACCACATAGCAGGGGAGAGGCCAGCTAATGTGAAAGAAAAGAGGGATACTGCTCAGCAACCTTCCTGGGGCCTCCAAAGACCATAGTCTAAATCCCCTTGACCAGCCTCCAAACCTGGAACATTTGGCTTATATGCTCCCCAAAGCCCACCTGGGCCTCTCACCGGGCAGGGACCACATTCATTGACCTGCATGGAGCAGGTTAACTCCTCTCCCAGCTCAGCCCTCCCCCATCCCCATCTCCCAAGCTGCCAGTTCTTCCAAGCTGCCTAGGTCTCACTCCATCCTCCCTCCTGGGGCCAAGATGCCAGTCCACAGCACTGCAACCAGCTCAGTGCAGCTCCCCAACCCATACCTGACTCATCATCCACACCTCCAGTGTTCCTTGCCCCGGATCCCAGATCACCCCGTGTAGCACTTCCCCAAGATGAACATTGTCACCACCTGTCCCTGGGCAGTGGCTCCCTCCAGCACAAAGACATAGGCTCCAGCTGCAAAGCTCTGCTCATAACCTTTAAAGAAACTCTCAGGGCCTCCCTGGTGGCGCAGCAGTTGAACACTGGGTTGCGAAGATGCCCGCAGCCTCTGCAGCGCCGGTTCGATGGTCCCACATGGCGCGCAGACCTCTCCTGCCACCTGCTGCTCCCCTCAGCAGTGTATTTCCTCAGTCTGCCTGCTCTGCTCTCCCCCCTGGCTCTGGTGAATTCTCTTACCCTCCCGCGCTTCTGACTGTACCCACCGCTGTATAAATAAATAAATAAATCTTTAAAAAAAAAAAAAAAAGAAACTCTCAGAACTCTCAGTCCTCCATTCCACCCACACCCCGGCATACTGGTAATCACCACGCCTATCCAACAGCTAATCAATCTGAGCTATTGGAGCATAAAAGTACTGGGACGGATGAGCCCAAGCATAAGCCAGGGACAGGTACGCTCGGCATACTCTCCATTTCCGCAGTGCACAGAACCACCCACTGGTCCTCTGCCCTCTGGGCAGTGGCCCTCTCCAGAGCTGTTTTTCTCTTCTCTTCCTCCTGCAGAGGATCTCCACACTCGGGCAGGACAGACCCAGCTGATTTGGCTCCTGCCCTGAACCCCATGGAAGGCCCTCTGCACTGCCCACCCACCCCTAGTTGCTCCAAGGGGTGCTCACCTTACTCTCTCGGTGCTCCCAGAGGCTGCTTTCATTCAGGACAGTAGTTCCTTCTCCGAGAAACAGAAGTCAGTCCGAGGAGTGCAGGTGGGTGGGGAATCCAGGCAGGAGTGGCCTGGCACTTCCCAGCAGAGTCCTGCCTCCCAGCCACCCCAGACAAGAATGAAAGAATCTGTCCCTGTCTGTTGGCAAAGTCCAGCCAGGGAGTAGCCTAGGGTCCCACAAGTCAATGGACCTATCAGTCTAGGTCTGGAAGGGAGTGGTCAGAGCGGCAACCTGAGCACAGGTGCAGCCCCGTGAGTACAGGGGGCCCTCTCCCTGCAGTGCCCTCTGCCGGTGAGCAGCTGTCCCCAGCCACAGGCCGTTGAAATAGCAGAAGGTAAAAAGGCCATAACCAGAGCTTCTGAAACTATAACGTGCGCACATATCCCCTGAGAGTTCCGTTAAAATGGGGTTTCTGATTCCCTCTGTTTGGGGTGGGGCATCTCTAGGAAACCCCAGGGAATGCCAATGCAGCAGGTCCAGGGAACTTCCTGTCCCTACCCCCTCCCCACCACCCCCCTCCCCCCCTCCCCCGATGACAGAAGGAAGGCTCTGAGAGGGTTAAGGTCTCACAAGTTGCTGGGGCACCCATATCTGCTCCCTACCTGGCACTCTTTCCACTGCCCACACCCAGCTGGCAGGGAGAGCCGCCCCTTGGGAGAGAACTGAACTTCAGGGCCGTTTGCCAGTGTGAGTCCGTTAGAAACCCTCCCTAGGAAAGGTGGAAGTTCCCTATCCAGAGGGGTCCATTGTTCAGGCTGTTTTGCTGTTGTATCCTCAGCTCCTGGTACAGTCTGATACAGAGCAGGTGCTCAATAAAAATTCATTGAATGAATGAGTGTCACTTGAGAGAAATGGATTTTGGATCCAGACTGCCACCCCCAAACCCAGGTGACCTCCCTGTCAGTTCTGTAATCTTAGGCAAGCTACTCAACCCCTCTACGTGTCCCTCTTCTTGTCTTCAAATACAGACGCTAATACCTTGTGAGGGACCATCATCATCATTATTCTCTAAATGCAACACATTTCGATGGTGAGAGCTATTGTCCCCACGGTCTGGCCTCTGGCAGCTGAGGCGCCACAGTCAACACCCTCAGCACCCTAGATATCATCTCCCATAGAAAATAAGTAGCTGTCACTGCTTCCATCTCAGTTAATGATTCTTGCCCCTGATGCAACCCCATTCCCTCTGCTGCTTTCCTGGGGTGAAGGCAAGGAGACAGGGTAAACACCCTGGGAGATCCCAGATCCCCAAAGTAGATGTGGCAAGGGAGTGGGTGGAAAGCAGCCAGCCTGGAAAAGAGACCTTGTGTCAAGGAATGTGTGCTTGCAACTAAGAGGAAACAAAGGGGGGCAATATCAGTCTTTATTGGATAAAGCTCTGTATGAGTCATGCAGAAGGCGGCTTTCTCCTCTGGTTCACCAAGTTCTAGGGGTTTGTGCAAGATCCGTCTAGCTCAAGTTCCAAACCAGGAAGGGCCCTGCCAAGCAGCAGGCTATTACCAGGGGCTGTGCTCATGAATCAAGAACTCATTCCCAAAGCTAGTGCCAGCCTCACTTAGGGACATCCCAGTTACAGGAAAGTGCTGAGAAAGCCTGAGAATCCCACCACCCCTGGAAAACCAAGCTGATTCATGGGTGCATAGGCCACAGACATCAGTAGCTGTGTAACCTGGGCCTGAACTGTTTCAGGAGGTCTGGGCCTCACAGTGCTGAAGTCTCAACCTCCATCAAGGGTTCCCCTCCCCCGCCCCAGAGGCCATGTCTGGCAGACTAGGGGGACCCCGCTGAGAGGAGTCCTTTGGGACCATGCAGGCAGCAACCTAGACTCCCCAGCCAATGTCACCAGCCATGTCATTGGAGAAAGGCAGGCCAGCCCTGCTCCACCCTTCTCCCGTACCCCACCCTCCGCTGCCTTCCACCCATCGTAGCTCTTCAGCACCCAGCCCGGGAGGCGTGCTGCCTGAGGTAAGAGGCACACAGGCCGGGAGGGGAGGCGCTGGCATGGTTGGGAAGAGGAAAAAGGAGGACAGGGTTGGAAGGGAAGACGGAATCTCCAAGGTAAATTTAAAAAAGAAAAAATAGAAAACAAAGAGACCAAGACTGGAAGGGAAGGCAGAAGATGAATAAATGTGCAGAGAGGGGGCAAAGAAAGCTGAGTGGAAAGATGTGCAGCGGGCAGGCTGGTCAGCACTGTCCCAGGAGCCTTCAGAACCTTGACAGGAAAGATGGAGCTGGGGGTCACTCCAGGACACTGAGAATAGCCCCCACTTTCCCATTCAGTCCTGTCAATCGTGGGGAGGAGGCTGAGATATTATGTGCGAGTGGAAAGAATGACAGTGGGTGAAGGTCTTGCTTGGAGGAGGGTCTGCACATCATCCCACATGCAAATGACATGTAGAGCAACATGCAAATGAGCATGTTCCCTTTTTAAGCAAAGACCAGTCATTTTTTTGAGAAAACTGGGTGCTACCAGAAGCGGAGTAATATAGGGAGGAACTCCCCCAGTCTCTGAGGGCCTCCCTGGTGACGCAAGGGGTTAAACACCGCACTATGAAGCAATCTGCAGCCTCTGCAGCACGAGTTCGATCCCCGACTGGCCAGGGAGCAACCCACATGGTGGAGAAGACCTCTCCTGACTTGCCTGCTGCTCCCCTCAGCAGTGTGTTTCAGTCAGTCTGCCTGTTCTGTTCCCAGCTCTGTCTCTGGTGGATCCACTCACCCCCTGCATCTCTGGCCTGTACCCCAGCTCTTGTATGCATGGATAGATAAATCTTTAAAAAAAAAAAAAAGATTTAGGTAAAGGAACCCCTTCAGCCAGTCACTTGGCTGACTGAATTTGGCAGGAGCTCCATGTGGGTGGGCCCCTTGAATTTGCCGGTCTGGCTTAGTGAGATAACCCAGGATGAGGAGATGGCCTGTTCTTGACTAGAAATGACCCCCAGGAATCTCCTGCCTGTGGAAAGTAGTTCTGCCAAATTAGTTATGGTCAGTTGGTTGAGTTCAGTGGAAGACACTTCCTCATCAAGGGCCTGCTATGTACCTAGCCACGTGCCACCCGCCACGGGAGGCAGAAAGACAGTCACACTTGGACTGGATCTCCAGGAGCCAGAGACATACTGGGGGAAGGGAACCTTCCACTGAGAAGCAATTATCAAAGCTGGCCAGTGTCCTTCCAGCACCAAAAAGCAGTAAATAAGTCCATGGAAGCCAGAAAAGGGGCAAAACAGTGCAAGGCATACAGGAGTGGACAAATGCTGGCCTGGTGGGGGGGTGTCTGGCCTCAACGACTAGACTAAGGAGGGGCTCATGCCAGGTAACAGGGTCATGTAGGTGGCGGAGATGTTGAAGAGACATGGGGGGGGGAGCCACGAGGAAGGTTCACCTTTCACATGTCTCTGCTTTCCCAGAGTCTGCCTCCTTGAGAAGAATGTGGCCTCAAGGAGCCATCTTTGTAGCCTTTCCCCACCTGGGACCCATCCTGGTCTGGCTGCTCGCTGGCCATCGGATGTCTGGCTGGTGTGATGAACCAAGGAAGCTGCCCTGGTGCCCGCTCCACAAAGTCTTGTTGCTAGTGTGGGCCACCATCTACTCTGTCATGGGGTGAGCACCTGTTTCTCAAGTCACCCTGGTCCCTACTGGAGTGGCAACTTCTGCAGATTCTGACCTCCAAAGGGAAAGCGCCCCATCTTGCCTTTCATGGTAGTCCCTCTGTGCCTGGGGGTCACAGCCAGCCCTCTTCTTCCACCCCTCTCCAAGTCCCCCAACTGCTCCCCTACCTCACCATGCCCAGCACCTCCCACCCCACCCCCTGGCCTTCAAGCCTAGACCTATTTGCCCTCCTTTGTGCCCACAGGGTTCCCTCTTCATAACCAAGAGTCCTTATGCCAGAGGCCGCCTCCACTTGGCATAAAACACCATCCCTTTCACTGTTCTGAACCATCTCTCCGCAGCTATGCCTCCTACCTGGTGTGGAAGGACCTGGGAGGGGGCTTTGGGAGGCCCCTGGCCCTGCCTCTCGGCCTCTATGCTGTGCAGCTCACCATCAGCTGGACTGTGATGATTCTCTTTTTCGCAGCCCACACCCCTGGCCTGGTAAGGCACACAGCACTTGGCAGCGGAGGTAGCAGAGGGGAGAGGGAGGCCCCCAGGCCCGCAGAATCAGATAGCACAAGCAGATGGATCAGGTGCAGGCAGGTAGCGGGTGAGCTACAGCTCTGAGCCCAGTGGTGCGTGCAGAGCCTGGGAACTTGGCTCACTGGGCCCAGGGTGCTGCAGAAAGGTCAAGGGCCACTCTCAGGTCAGCTTGCCTGACCCACCTGCCCCCTGCCCAGGCCCTGCTGCACCTGTTGCTGCTCTACGGGCTGGTGGTGAGTTTGGCCCTGATCTGGCACCCCATCAACAAGCTGGCTGCCCTGCTCCTGCTGCCCTACCTGGCCTGGCTCACCGTGACCGCCTCGATCGCCTACCACCTGTGGAGGGACAGCCTTTGTCCAGAGCACCAAGTTCAGCCTACAGGGCAGAAGAGCAACTGAGGCACCAGGGCATGGGAGGGAAGGGAGGGTGGCCAGGGTAGGGGTGTGAGAGAGAACAGGTAGGGCTGTGGGGCTTTGAGAAGGGTAGGGAGAAGGGATGAGGAGGTAGACCAGGGATGGACGCATCCCTGAGGGTGACTCACACCTATGTGGTGCCCAATTTCATTAGAATTCAGAGAAATAGGAACAAGGGAGGAATTTCACTTTACACTTAATGTGAATTAATGAATTTTGTATTAATAAACATTTTGCAGTAATATAAAATAATAAAATCCTCCTGCCATGTTTAAGGGCTCTCTAGGGCTGCAGAGCGGGAGAAGAAGTATCCGTGCACGCTTGTGACACACTCACCTGAATGAGTGTGTGGAAAGGGTCACACACACTCCCAAAATAAAGGACTCGGATTTTTAAGGACCTGATGAACAAATTTTTTTGAAAAATTACAGAAAAGTAGATAAAGTAAAAAAGGATGTTAATTAAACATGACAAGCTTACATAGTGTCCATTATTAATTTTATATTATATATGTGTGACAGATCATATACTATGTATCATACTTGACATACATAGGACTATAACAAGACTGTAATTGCATCTGTTTAAATACTATATTATGTTAGCTATGGCAGAAACTGTATTATAATATATAATCAGATATAGGGCACACCAAGACCTCATATGGTTCTCTCTGATAAGTAAAATTAATAGATTATTTTTTTATTTTCACTTTCATGTGCTCTTATACTATTAGTTTTTTAGATCAATTAGTTATTATTATAGGAGTCTCTTGTCCAAACTTCTCCTTTTCTAAACCTTCTCCTGGCTGTTTTACTGTCATCTCTTCCTTTTGTTTTTTTTCCTTGACTTAAGGGCAGCAAGGAGTGGCTGCCTCTGGGGCCCCCTCCTCTGGTCCTGACAAGGCAGGGAGGAAGGCCAGCACCCTGAGAAGGGGTCTCCACCTGCCACACGATGGAGTGACGGGGTGGGGGGGCGGGTCTGGACGGCAGTCTCTAAGACCCCATGCCCTCCTCACAGAGCCCCCCAAAACTCCCTCTGAGCATGCACCAGCACCACTGGGGAGCTTGTTTGTAAATGTATATTCCTCAGACATCACCCAAGACTTATGAATCAGAACTTTTGGCCAGATTTAGATTTAACAGGATCCGGCACTTTTACCAGCTTCTTGCTAAAATTTGAAAGTTTCTGTCAGGCATCTCCTCTTGGACGCTCCTTTTGTTTTGAAATCTTGTGGTCCTAGGAGCTGAGTTCTAGGGTTGGAACCAACTCTACCCTCTCAGGTGGGGGCCAAGGGCTTCAGGGTGGAAGAAGCCAGCAGGACACCATCATTTAAGCTCTCCGAGTAAGAGCAAGAGAGAGGGAATCTGTATCCAGCTTCCTCACTAGCACGTCCTACCAGCAGCCCAGGCTCGTAGGTCACCTGCAGCTGGAGGCATGCTAAGCCCCATCCACCTTTGTGTCTCCAGCTCCAGTGCAGAGTGTGCATATGTCTTTGTTTGTTTGATTCATTCACTCATTCAGTGAATAAATTAACAAATTGCTCCATTAAAAAAGAATACTGACCAGCACCTTCCTCCAGTCTGGATCAATGGCATTAATAGTTCTGGAAACTTCTGAAGGGGTTCTCATGTGCATCCAGATCAAGAGCAGCAGTCAGGCAGTTCTCAAAGTGTGCCCAGTGACCTCCTGGGACACATGTTGCAGTCTTAGACCCCACCGTACTCCAGACTCACAAAATCAGATAGTCGTGGGGAGTGAGGACCGTGGATGCAGTGGTTTGCAATCTGGTCCCAGAAACCAACCAATTGGGGCTTGGCACTGACTCTCATTCATTAACTAATAAACCAGTACAATGTGCATTGCTGTCTGAGCTTTTTTTTTCCTCACCCATAAAATGGGAACCTCATAGAATTCTTGGGAAGAGTCAATGAGATAATGAGTTAACAGCTGTCTGGCAGGCAGGAAGTGCTCAATAAATGTTAGCCATTCTAGGAGAGGGCCTCAAGAGGTCACCTGTTTAATAAGAACACATGGTTCTGATTCACCCTACAATTGGAGACCCCCCTCTGCTCCAAGAGTCGGGAAGTACTTCCCAAACTTCCGAAGAGCCAGGACAGTGAATGACGTCCTCTCGGGTCTGTGATGGGGTTCACTACTCCACATGCACAGAATGACCGACTCTGCCCCATGCATTCACATGGATTTTGTCTTCATTTCAATCAAGTTTTTAACAAGTGCTTTTATAACTCCATTTTTTAAACCATTTTAAATATCTAAACTTAATCTACAAATACTAGCTGAGTGAGGATGGACTCAGGAGGCACCCTGCCTGGGCTCTTATCCTGACTCCACTGTCGCCGGGTGACCTTAGACAAGCCAACGCCCAGAAGGATTGGTCGTTATTGTTATCATCATCTCATGCAGGCGTTATAAATAGGTGCTGCCACTTTTACTGTTACCAGCTCAGGGTAGAAGTTAAACTGACCCTGTGAGAAGATGCACCAAGCCTACTGTGTGATCTCGACCTCCCCTGGGCCACAGATGCCACGAACCCAGGCTCTGGATGCCTCTGGTTTTGGTCACTTGGCCATAGAAGGACGACTGGTTTGGGCAGTGTCCCAACCCCTGCACTAGCGTGACTGCCTGATAGGGCATGAGTCAAAGTAAAGGGCATGAGTTTGTCCTGACTTTGGACAGAAAGAGGCAGCCAAAAAGGGCAGTATCCCACGCCCAAACTCTCACTCTCTGACCCCAAAGTTGTCCTTAAAATCCCCCTCTACATCAGCTCCTTGTTTCCTGAGCAGGAGGAACGTAATCCCCATGTCCCAACCTGCTACAATCTCTTGCCCTTCCTCTTCCCTATGCCCCAATCTGCCTGGGCCCCTCTGCTCTTGTTGCCTAGGGTTGTGCCTAAACAGAGTTGGAGCTGCCTCCTGTCTTTGCCAGTTGTATCCCAGGATTCCACCATCCAAATTGTGTGTGTGTGAGCTCCTGGCCTTGGGCAGTGTTTTTCCATTTGCTCTGTGTGGGCACATGGTGTTGGGGTATGATTCACTTGGTGGGTGGGGGAGAGCTCTTCTGGGGTCATGCAGATATCCCACTCAGTGCTGGAGAGGTAGGGCGTGGCACCAGGTGAAATGATAAGCCCGGGAGGTGGTTTGTCTCATGTTTCTGTGTCCCCACCTCTCCCCTGAAGCCTTCCTTCTTCCTCCCTTTGCCAGTGTCTGCAGAATAGAGAGACACTGGGCAGGAGAGATGACAGACGGTAGGTATGTGTCCAGTGGACACTCATCAGCTGGTCAGGGAGGGGAGCATTATCTCTGTGCATTTTTTGGCACCCCTACCTATGGGCAGGTAGAGGTGATGTCATCATGGGGGTGCGAGACCCCCTGAGTGTTGTCACAGCCTGGCCAGGGCTCCAAAGTATTTCTTCCTTGGTGGTGCTACCATCTGTTTTATCTCCTGGGGTTCCCCTGCAACCCGAGCCCAGTTTCAGAGTCTTCCCAAAGTTCCCCTTTCTTGTAGTTTTTTTTTTTTTTTTTAAGATTTATTTATTTATGCATACAAGAGCTGGGGTATAGGCCAGAGAGGCGGGGGTGAAAGGATCCACCAGAGACAGAGTGGGGAACAGAACAGACAGATCAACTGAAATAAACTGCTGAGGGGAGCAGCAGGCGAGGCAGGAGAGGTCTGCTGCGTCATGTGTGTTGCTCCCCAGCCGGCTGGGGATCGCATTTGCGCTGCAGAGGCTGCGGACAGCTTCACAGGCTGCACCCCAACCCCTTGCGCCACCAGGGAGGACACTCTTGTAGTATTTGAAAAGAAAGCACAAGACCTGTTTGTTATAAAGATTTATCACGGATCATCAGTAGTGGAGCATAAGTTACCCAGTTCAAGCAAAGCCTGGCTTTTGGTCGGGACTCCCTCAGATCTGGGAGGTTTCATTTTTATCCCCAAGTGGAGTCTAAGGCCCCTCCCATGCCCAGCTTTCCGGGACACTTCATCCACTGAGGTCCCCTCTCCAGAGTGCCCTCGGGAGAAGCCTCTGTCACAGCAGGAACCTCAATGCTGCCCAGTCAGCCTCTGTTCAGCCCTCCAACACCTGTATCTTCACACCCACACAAAAATTACGTGCCCGGAGAAAAGCCCCATCCCCCAAACCCTCTACCTGAACGGACTCCAGCACAGTCCTCATTCTGAGAGCTGAAGTCCTCCCCTCAAAAGTTGATGACGTTTATCACTTTCTTCCAGTAGTTTCTTTGGCCCTGCAAATGACCCTCTAAAGAGGAACTCTATTAGTCACCTTAATGTGCGTGTTTCTTATCAGATCGCTTTCCTCAAAGACTCAAAGTGCCAGTCTTGGAGCTGAGCTGGGCGGTGCCGGGAGTGGCCTCTGGAATGGAGGGCCTCGGTGACCGACCAGGACTAAAGTCCCGGTGTCACCATTTTTACCCCAGGGCAGCGTGTCCTACAGGGGCAGCCGAGCGTCATGCCCTACCCTGGGGGAGACGGGAAACCCTGACCTGCCCTGTGATGCTAGTCCAATCCTGGCCTCAGACTCTGGGAGACCCTTGGCCTCCTGGTCAAGGCCCTAGACACCCTGTGTTTATGTCAACAGAGCGGTTGCCGGAGCTGGCAGTCTCCTGCTGCCTGGGGGTGTCCACTGCCCGTGGCCAGTGTTTGTGTACCTCGTTTCGGTAGTGACCAAGGGGGCGGGCACGCCCAGGCTGGGTCTCTGGGGCAACGCGCTGTTGGGGTCCCACCTGTCACTGCACATAAAGCACCTACTCCATCAACATTCTCCCGAGGTGTCTTCTTTCATAGAGTGAGAATTTAAACCTTCCCCTGATGAGGTTCTATTTTCCACCAGCCCCCTCCTGGCCTCTCTACTCAGTGAGGGCAGCTCAGCATCTGGCCAAGACCCAAGGAACAGCTATGCCTGACCCTGTCCCCTCCTAGAACCTCTGATGTTTTCTGAAATGACCATGGGAAATGGGACAAGGAGAGAAAGGCTGCAGTTTATCCTGGGCCTAACCCCGCCAATGCCACCCACACAGAAAAGGGCTGGGGCCTCCTGCAGAGACAAACTGGGAGAGTTCCCCTTTGGTTTTCATCCCCACTCACCAGCTGTCGAATATCTTTATCCCTACACCCCCTAGACCCCCTACACACTCCCTCAATATACCCATTGTTTTCAGAGCCCAGTCTCTGCAAGGACTTCTGCCCCCAGCCTCCTTCTTGCTTTTATCCCTCAGAGCCTGGCCTCAGGGTTCCTGCCCACAGTAGGACTGGATGGCACAAGACTTAAGAGCATGACTCTGGAAGCATGTAGCTCTGCTCTCACTAGTTGTATGACCTTGGACAAGTCTCTCAACCTCTCTGGTCTCAATTCTCTCAGCTCAGAGCTGAGAAAATGAGGATAATAATAGGACCTATCCCAACTTCCCTATGGAGAGTGAGTTAGTTTATGAGACCTGCTCAGAGCGGTATCAGGCCTCCAATAAGGGCTGTGTGGGTGTCAGCTCTACTGATTTCCAGGTAGCTGACACAGTGGGAGAGGCAGGGAACTTGGAGGCTGATAGCCCTGGGTTCAAATCCCAGCAGCCCACTGTTTGCTGTCGTGACCTTGAGCTAGATGCCTTACCTCACAGTTTCCTCCTCTGCTGGTTGTATTGATAGAAGCTTAACCCAGCAGTGTTGGAGGTGGAGAGAGGGGAAGGAAGAGGAGGGAGGGCTGGGAATGCCTCCCCTAAAAAGAGTATAGTGGCAGGGGGAGGAGGCAGACTGCTGGCACCTGATCCCCCAGATTAGCTGCAGTATTCTGGGGCTGGCAGGGGAAACTGGTCTGACTTGGAAAGGAGAAACATGGACCAGTCAGGAATGCAGGCCCCTAGGAGGTGCCATAAATAGCCACAGCAAGTCTGAGGGCCTCTGGGGATGACAGGTGGGGGTGGGGGATTGTAAAGGAGCAGTGGATGGAGAAGGAAGCTATCAGTCATCAGTCCAGGGGAGGGTCCAGGGCACTCTCCCAAGAGACAGAGGAAACACTGCATGTGGGTATGGTGAGAGCAAAGGGTCATCTCTTCAGAGGGGACCAGGCTGCACCATCTCCCTACACTACTTGCAGTCACACTGTTGTCTCTGCCCTGGAGGTCTTAGGAGCCAGCCCTGTTTCCTCATTTTCATCCCTTTGACCATCCTAGAACAGAGAACATTCGCTCAGCCTGTGTTATTGGCAGGAGCCCTGAGACCCAGAGATGTTGAGTGATTTGACCAAGATCACATTACAAATCAAGGGCTGAGATGGAGTCGTGAACATGGCCTTTTTTCCCCTTGCAATCTAGGGTCATACAGGCCATCCAAAACATAAGAACCCATCCGTGAGAAGAGACCCCAGGGGAACTAAAAGACCCCTCCTTCTAGCTTTCCTCCCTGGACATATTTCGTTCTTCCTCTGCTGACTCCAGCACAGCACTGTAGCTGCACTGGCAGAGGGAGAAGGCACACATGGACCATGCTCTCGAAGAGTGCTCACCAGAGCTCGCTGGGCGCAGTCCTGCAAATAAGAACTTGGGCTCAGCAGGCCTGGACTCAAAGCCTCTTGTGGCCTTGCACACATCCCCTCACCTTTGTGAGCAGTTCCCTAAATGAGGCCAATGATGCAGGCCAGATGAGGTCTGCGTGAGGACTTAGGAGGAAACTGTAAGCTGGAGAGCCTGAGGAATGCCCCAATGTTGCAAAGATTGGGAGCTGCGGGTGAGGCAGCATCTGATTCATCTATGTTATTGCCAGTTGCTACAGTGCCTGGCACATCGGAAACCTCGATAGGTACTGGTCAAATAAAAGAATAAAGTAAACTCTGCATGTTAAGGTTGTGTGGTGATGATAATGTGTGTTTGCTACTTCTCAGTTATCACTGCCTTTTCTTTGTGGACACAGACACTATTGCCATTACTCTATACTTTACAGCCCTGAAAATATGCCTGAAAAAAATAACGCCTGCGTAAGAACACCTTTATTATAAGCCTAATAGACAGGGTGACCATATCATGTATTGTCTACATTGGAGTACTTTTAGGAATGAGAGGGGGCATAAGAAGTAATGCACAGGCAACAGGTATGAAACTATCACTGTCCCCAGCAAACCAAAATGCTTGGGCATCCTGCTTAATGCAAGGGCACCATACTGCTCAGAACTCTCTGGAGGAGAGAGCCCCCACACTCTCCAAAAAATTGGATTCAAAGCTCCCTGATTCCAATTCTCCACTCAGACAGAGTCCCCTACCTGCTCATCTCTGCCACCCAAACTCACTGGGCGCTGCGTTGAGACCAGTTCCCCTGATGTTCTTAAATTCCTCATTTTCAACCTGCTGGTCACCCTGACCCTAGCCTTCCATTGCCCTGAGAATGTCCTAGAGTGTTTGCTCTGCTCCAAACACAAAAACACTGGCCCCACTAACTCCATGTGAATTGCCCCAATCATCCAGTCATTTTGCAATGCTGTTCCAGCTCCAAGAATTTTCTGGGGGCACCAGTTACCTCTGCAGTGTCCAGAGGCTCATAACTGGCCCTCTGCTATTGGTTTTTCCCACCTTTGGACTCTCATGCTCAACCAAGGAGCCTGGCTGATCCTATAAAAATGTAAGTCAGACAGTGTGTCTCATCAGTTTAGAGACCATGCATCCCATCTCATTTAGACAAAAAGTCAAGGTTTTTTAACAGGGCACAAGCCCCAACCTACTTAACCCTTGTTTATTTCTCTGGCCTCATCTCCTAGGAAGATCCATCCACACAGGTGTCCTTGTTTCTCAAACACACCAGGAATGTTCCCACCTTAGGGCCTTTGTACCTCCTTGGCATACTTTCTCCTTAGTTGCCCATTATTTCCTCACTGCCTTGAGTTCTTTTCTCAATGGACCCCTTTTCAAATTCCTTCCAAAGCCACCCTATAAAAACCTAAACCCATCTCTTGAAAGTCCTGTCCCGCTTCCCTGAATTTTCTCCTTACCATTTAATACCACCAAATAGATCACATAAATTATTTATCTCATTTACCACCCACTCTCAAGTCTGAGAGGGTAAGAATTTTCATTTCTTTATGAAATTTCTTTAATTTCATTTCTTTAATTTCATTTCTGTAATCCTGGCTCTGCCCCTTATGAGCTATATGGCTGTAGGCAAGGCCCTTAACCCTGCTGTGTGTCTCAGTTTCCCCATATGTAACTTCGGGGTGATACTCGTTGCCTTCCAGGGCTGTGGAGAGCATTAAGTTGTATTTCACACATAAACCACTAAACTCACTCTTTGGCCAATTTCAAATCTCAGAGCTTAGTAAACAGCAGCACTGCTACTGGTGGAGGCTCCAGTCTATTTGACACACCATGATGTGTCTGTAACAGGCAAACCAGCATTCCCTTTGTGACTCCCTTTGAGTCACAATTCAGCTTCTTCCAAATTGGCAGTTCTCATGCCCCCTTCTCAGGGCCCTCCATTCCTGGACCCAAGTTTCCCCAGCCAAACTGCATGGGGTCTCTTTGCAAGCAGCACTCCCTTCAACACAGGCCTACTCCTGCTTAAACCTGAGAGAGCGTTCCCCCCTAAATCTCAGGATGCCCCCACTGAGGTCCCTTCCACAATCCCCCCAGTGGAGATGGGACAGTTAGGTGGGACCCATATAATGTGAGGAGGAGGTGAGAATAGGAATATACGTGTGAATACATGTGTGAGCTGGTGGGGGGAGGGAGAATAGGCCAAGCGTCCCCACCTGCCAGCTTTCTGTCTTTGCCTACTGATAAATAGGGGGTACTAATGGCCAGATTTTCCATTCCCCCACCCCCATCCTGGCACTCGCTGTCACTCAATTAAAAAAAGATAGAGGGAGAAGACCTGGGGGAAGGGCAGGAGGTCTCTGCTTATAAAGCCTGTGGCCCAGGGGTGAGAACACTAAGCCTGGCCTGCCTGGTCATCCCCAGTCAGATTTAGCTGCTGACAGCTGTTTGGGACTCTGCCGCCAGGCCCTGGCCCAACCTGCCACCTCTCGGCTCTCTCAGTGACTCCGGAGCCACAGTCCCTCCATGGCCCAGAAAGAAGAAGCTGCTGCAGCAGCTGAGCCTGCCTCCCAGAATGGAGAGGATCTGGAGAACCTGGAGGATCCTGAGAAGCTGAAGGAACTGATTGAGCTGCCGCCCTTTGAGATCGTCACAGGGTGAGTGCCGAATGTGGGCAGGGAGACTCACCCCTATAAGGGGATAGGGGCTGGGAGTGGGCTGGGCGACCTTAGGTAGGTAATAATAGGGTTTACGGTCAGCCACAATCCTGCAGGCTTGAGAGTGTGCGTATACACAGTAGGAGCTCAGGGGACACAGTAGCAAGTCTCTCTTGGTTTCTTGGGGTGGACCCATAATCAAGGGGCGGCAAGGAGTTGCTCCTTGGAGACAAGGGCCTAGAGAATATAATCACCCCTATGGCCTCCTGGTACTGAGATGACACCTGCCTCTCTATAGAGATTGTTCAGTCTTGGGGCGTTTGGTAAGAACCCAGGCTGACACAGGCATATTTAAATATAGACCTGGGCAAAGTACTTTCTCCCTGGTCTTCTCTCCCTGATTCTGAGTGGGCCTTTCTTTGATCTAGATGCCTCTCATTCCTTCTCTAGAGTTTTTCTCTGGGGTAGAAGATTCTAAGACAGGGAAAACAGATCCATCCTTTCCTAAGGCTGAGTGAAAGATTTGTTCTTGTTGAGTCTTTTCTGAGTCTATCCAAGGACAGTACACATCCACCCCCAGGGAAACGGAGAAGTGACCGAGTGGGTAATGCAGGCCAGGCCAGGGCTCTGGACACAGAAGCTCCTACAGCCACCGCTTAAGGACCTAGGACTCAGCGAAGCATCTAGAGGCTCTGGAGAGGGACTACGTACAGGGTCCCTCTGTCCCGTAGAGATTAGGCCATGTGCAGAAATGAAAAAAAATAGCCTTCCTCCTTTTTCCTCTCTGTTCCTTTAGGGAGGGACTGGCTAAATTCTTAAGCGAAGAATAAGAAAGAAATATGGAGAGGGCACATTTCCTCTTAACCCCAAAGTTTCCTTTATGGCAGTCTCCAGCAACGCCCAGAAGCAGAGTAGAGGCCACACTAAGAGAAATTTCAGGAAGAATGGAGGTCTGATGCCCCCGGGAAGCAGAAGGAGCCCCGATGGCAATTTGGACTTGCTATTTTAAGCTTGGCAAGTGACTTTCCAGTCCTGGCCTCAGATCTGTCATCTGTAACAGGAGGAACTTACACCAGTTAATTCCCAGAGTCCCTTCCAGCTCAGATATTTTCTGATTTCTAAGAGAAACTGAGTTGCTGAGGTGAGAATTCAGAGAAAAACTTGTGTTCATTCATGCCCAACCAACTAATGTCACCCTCATCCTGGAATTAAAGGAGCAACGGGACAGAGATTAATATAGATTAATGTAGACATAGAGAGAGCCCAGGGCCACCCAGCCAGGAAAGACTTCAATGCCAGTGACCATCTGTAGAAGGAGATCCATTTTCTAACATCTCAGCAAGCTTGTCCCTGCTGTCCTAGGTCACACATAGAGGTATATCCACTCTGCCTGCTACGTTGTGATCTGCCCAGCACAGGGGCAGAGCAGATCCAAAACACAGCTAGGCTGTTTTAGTTGAGTTGAACTTGCTGTAGGGTCTGAGGATGGCGGGTCCCTTTAAAGGGTTAACTCTTTTGATGTAATTTACATTTGTCTGGGACTTCATGACCAGATCGTCCTTTCACGTGTGTGAGTGCATTCAACCCTCAGCTCAATGCTAGGGAGGGAGCTTGCTCATTGTCACTCTAACTAGGGTAAATAGTCTGGGAGATGAGACACTTGTCCAGAACCACAGAACCAGGAAGTAGCAGGTCTTCTGACTCAGGACAAGGGTGCACTGGTTTCTTACACATTGCAGATCCCAGGCTTCCAAAACAGAGCTCCACTCTCTCCATCTGTGAGGTAGTGAGGTTCAGAAATAGAGGTGCAGTGGAGCAGCCTCTAGGCACCCTGAGCACTAGGGCCCTGAGTGTTTCCTGGCCACAAATAACAGTTGTGGAGATCTGTCTCCTGGGCACCTCAGGGTAAATAGAAGGCTTAAAATAGCCCAGAGGTGCGACTGTGTCTGTGCAGGGACAGGATGAGGGAACAACTTTCCTTTCCTTCCCACCCCCTACCCCACCAAATGCCATGGAGTCAAAGGAATTGGGGAAGCAGTTCCTCTGATAGCCTGTACTCCCACCAAGAATGGATTAACCCATCCTGCTCCTTAGCTGGACTGCAAACGAGCTGAAGAACAAGTGGATTTGGGGATGAATCTAGGGTGAGGAGGGTGTACCAGGTAGTAAAGAGAGATGCCCTGCTTATCAGAATTCAGGTTTGAATAGGGCACTCAGGTTTAAAAAAAAAAAAACAAAAAAAAAAAAACAGACCTAAGAACAGTCCAAAATAAACACAGTGGAAAGTGCTAGAAAGAAACTGTAACAGGGTGCTAACTCAGATCACATTGGCAGAGAGCTGATTGTCCACCTCTCTTCCCAACTCTCAGTGACTTCAAGCTGGTTTCTTGAAGTCTCCATTTCAAGAGTGTTTCTAGAAATCAGCGCTAGGAATCAGGGGCTTTCCTTTCTTCCAGAAAACTGGGTGTTAAACCAACACGCCACTGAACAAGAATATTCTGAGATGAGAGGAAGAGTAGTGAGGGATCAGGTTTTGTTGTACTTAGGGCTGAGCTCTGAGGGGCCAGGGGAGGCACCCCCCCATCAACACTAAGTTTAATTTCTTGAGTGTTGATAGTTGTCAACCTTCCCTGTTTCTGATGAGGAAAGTAGGAGAAACCCTCAGAGGAAATAGTTAACCCGAAGCTAGTAGATGGAGTAGGACGTCACCCCCAGGCGATCTGACTCTGAATCACCACAATGCATCTAAAAAAAAAAGTCATCAAGATGAACCTTTTATTTTCCACAGATAATTACTGAATAGAAGTCATTTCTTTACTGCACACTTCCCCCACTACTATCTAACTTCTGTGAGGACATTGACTTTGCCTTTTAACTGCTCTCTCTGTAGCAAAAAGAATAGTACCTGGTCCCTAATAGGTACTCAATATATATGTATTGAATAATGAATGAATAAGCTAATAAATGAGCACCTGCTGTGTGCAAGGCTCTCTGCCAGGCACCAGGACAGGGAATTAATTGTGGGAGGGCCTATGGAGGAGGTCAGGATGGTTCAAGATGAGTAAGTGTGAGCTATGGAAGAGGACTGCCCTGGTACAGGGCCGCCTCTGAAGTTAGCAAGCTGTAGCGAAGCTGTGGGGGGTCTCGAAATGCTGGTCTCCCCAGCTCTCCATCCCAGTGATGAGTGACTGGGACTCTTTCCAGACAGGACCCCCTGCCATGTATTTAGCTCTAGTTAGTTACATTGTATGTTTTTGCATGAGCTGAGCCTGCAATCAAAGCTGTTATTATGGAAAGAGGTAAAGGGCACTGGCAGGGATCCTCCTTTGAACCACTGGCTTACATACCAGCAACTTTACCCTGGCCATGTGAGGAAAACAGAGAAGAGGCAGGGTTCAGAGGAGCAAGGGTGAGCCAGAAGTGAGTGGGAAGGTTTATTCCATAAAGAATAGAAAATAGTGCTGACTCTAGCCTGCCTGGCTGCACTGAGGGTTGGTGGAAGGTCAAAGCCCATGTGATGGTGCCCACTCTGAGGGGTGAGCTCAGAGCTTGCCTTAGGAAGAATCCCATGGGAATTGCCAACCAGGAGCAAGCGACGCATCAAACCCCTTCCCTGTTCTAGGAAGGCAGGCTGTTAGAACTCTGCTCCTCTATACTCCTCCTGCTCACTATGCCCACTCCTTACCGTCCAATTTGAAAGAGGCTTAAAAAGGGGAAAAGAAACTGAAACCCACAATTCTGCCTCTTTCGAGCAGGTCACTGAAGGGTCTGGTGAGGAAAGCTGACACTCATCAGCACTCAATTACCTCTGAGTAGATTTTCCACTCACTGGATTATTTTGGAGTGAAAGTTTAATCTCAGGCCAGCTTCTACTACCTTCCTTTCACTGTGTAGATTTATGCTGAGAAAATGCAAATGTTTTCTAATATGAATGTGAGGGGAAGGGAGAAAAAAATTTATATATATTACATTTACTCACATCCCTTCCCCTCAATCAAGCAGGTCATCTTCCCCATTTTCCCCAGATACTAGGATTCTCCATTTCCTGTCTCCATTTCCTGTCCAGAAGCCTGGGTCTACACAGATGAAGTGTGAATGGCCTATAAAATGGCCATAAAGCATGAGGAAATGGTGCTTAAGGAGGTGCTGAAACTGGGGAAGGAACCAGAAAGAATGCTGTTGGTTTCTGTGCTCAGGGAAGTGCCCGGGTAAAGCGAAATGCCATCAGCATCTCTCTCCTGACCACCACCCCAACATATGCACACACACTTCCCACTTTAGCAGTGAAGTGAAAGCCTATAAAACAAGTAAATATAGTCCTCAGGCATATGATGCATAGAAACAAAGATGTTTGTGATTAGCTAAGAAATTAGTGTCACTACTTCCAAACTCCCACTAATGGGCATACAGTGTTGACTTACTTCTTGACTTGACGTTACCATCCAAGAAGGCCATGTTGTCTGGCTCTCCCTCAAAGAACATTCAGACCTCTACTACCTCTTTCCACCTGGTCTCCCTCCAGGGCTCGGCTGTTTCAGTCTGTGGGAGTCCCAAAGAACCTCATTTGACCTTGATGCTCCTTCTAGAAGACCAAGAAGCCCATTGAGAAATAAAGCAAATTCAGTCTCTGAGTAAACCCAAAGGAAACACTGGAAGCCAAAACCTTTCTTGACTTTCCTCCCCACTTCCTGAGGCACTAGCCTTGAAGACCTGTTGATAGACAGAGTAGTTGCTGGCCAGAGGAGTTAGAAACCAATACACATAGAAGTAAATTTTCTTCCTCTGCCTTGGGTTAAGTTTTCTCTGGGTCATCTCCTGGTGCCTGGAGAAGAGGAGGCATAACTGTCAGAGCTTAAGGGAGGCTCAGAGAAGCAGTTTTAGGCCAACTTGCAATTGCATGCTGGGCCTAACTCATACCCTCACTGGGCTGCATTTGACAAAGTTGGAGAACTACTTTTGGAGGTTCCAGAAGGAAAGCTGAGGGACCACAGAGACAACTGATACCCTCAAGCCAGCAAGCATACTTCCAAGAATATGAATATGGTGAATACTTGAAAGACTATTCACATCCATGACAGAAGTGTCTCTGGATTAGATTTGGACGAGGGGTGGGTGAGGAGGAGGGGGACGTGGATTAAGGAGTGGTCTGGCAAAAAGCCTTAAAGAACAAAAAAGGGCCGGGCAAGGAAGGCAAGCTCTGTGCCTCTTGGAAAAGAAAAAGCTGCTCCAGGAAGTGAAAAGGCCATAAAGTTCAGGAGTGGTCTGGTGGGGTGAGTTTAATGAGGGAGACCTAATCCCAGTAGGGATTGAAAGAGGAGAGGGGAATCAACAGGCCATTCCATTCTCCTAGAATGTTAAGTAAATAATAAACATGTCCAGGACAGAGGAGCTTAGAGATCTAAGTATAGAACTTGAAAGGATCCTGGGGTTGGGTCCTCAAACACTTCCATCTCCACAGTGGAAACTTAACTTGACAGCAAGGGACATGGAAAGGTGGGTGGAGAATATTTGGCGATGGAGTGCGATAGGGAAATAACTCAAGTTTACTCAGCTCTTTGGCACCTACCTGATGTTTATCCCTAAGAAGCCTAGGCCCCGGGACACCAGGGGTTCCCCTGCAGCCCAGGGAGTTGGGTGACCTCTCTGGGGAAAGAGACGGATGGAGAGAAGTAACATCAGAGTTCATGGCTGCCGAAGGATATCTTCTGGGGAAGCCACAGAAATTGCACTTTGACAAAACAGGAAGCATTTAGCCTCTCCAGTTGGTACTCAACCCCGCCTCTCCTTTTTGACATTTTCGGTCCCTCCTGTTAAAGCCTCCTCATTCTCCTTGGCTTTAAAACCAACACAAATCTTTCCTATTTTATAAAAACACATAGATACACAGAAAAACAATCTTCCCCTCCAGTGCCCTCTCTAGCCCTACCCCCACCCCCTGCTTTCTCTCTCCTTTTTATTAGTACCAGACTTTTCCAAAAGGCTGACCTTTTCCTGCTGCTTTCATTTCCTAATCATCCATCTCTCCCTGAAGCCACTGGACATATTCATCACCGAGGCTGGTGTCCTAAATAGCGTCCACTCTTCAGTGGACACTACTTTCATTATGTCTTTCTTTACTCAAGAACCTGTGCTGATTCTCTATTGTCTCCTGAATCAAGGTTAAACTTTGCCTATTCTTTTAGCAGTCTTCTTTTATTTACATCTTCTCTCTCCAGCTGGAATCTGGCTGCTAGATTATAAGCATGTGGAGGGCAGAAGTGAAGTTTTTCATGACTTGGAAATTACTCAGTGCTCTATACAATCTAAATCATACCAAGGTATCCTCACAGATAAAAGTTCTTGAACACTTATCATGTGTCAACCCCTCTTTCACCTTAGCGAAGAGAAAGACTTGACAAGTAGTCACTAGGTGAGCATAGATGGTACTATAACCTGTAGGTCATTCCATGCCCAAGATGCAATATATGTATATATGAGTTATAAGGAAAAATAAGTGCATGAAATGTTCTGCAACATTTTTGTCTTGCTCTGTTCTGAGAAAATTTTTTTATACAGGCTACTTTGTAAAATGATGGTTTGAACACTGCTTTTCAAACCTGGCCACACACTACAATCATCTGCAGTGTTTTTAAAAAATATTCTATCCTCCTCTCCCTTGTTTGGCTTTAATTGGTTTGGTGTGGAGTCCAGGCACTGATATTTGTAACATCCTTTAGGTGATTCTAACATATACCAGGCTAAAGATTCACTAATTTAGAAGTGCAGGAGTTTGTTATGTGTTGGGCATGAGGGTGGAGTCAGTGTTTGCAGATAACTCCTAATGTGGTTACCTGGGGCCTCCTTGGTGTGGTGCAAGGGGTTAAGCACAGCACTGTGAAACTATCTGCAACCTCTAAGGCATGAGTTCGATCCCCGGTGGCAGGGAGTTACCCACATGGCACAGGAGACCTCTCCTGACTCGCCAGCGGCTCCCCCACCCCCCACACTCCCATTAATGCGGTGACCCGTCCCCAAACCTCAATCCAAATTCTGTCCTCTCCTCCAGAGGAAGAGATAAACCCTTTTGAATTCTTCCATGTCTTTTTATCACTGATAGAGTGTAGGCAAGTCCTGTCTTAATAGTAAGAATGAAGGCGTCTCTGAGGTCCTGATCCTAGTAGGAGTTACCTGCTCCGGGACGGTCTCAGAATCAAGAACTCATAATTCTCTTCTACCCTGCCACTTTGTCTCCTTGACCCACAGGGAGCGACTGCCTGTCAACTACTTTAAGTTTCAGTTCCGGAATGTGGAGTACAGTTCTGGGAGGAACAAGACCTTTCTCTGCTACGTGGTCGAAGTGCAGAGCAAGGGAGGCCAAGTGCAGGCATCCCGCGGGTACCTAGAGGATGAGCATGCCACTGCCCATGCCGAGGAAGCCTTCTTCAACACCATCCTGCCCACCTTCGACCCGGCCCTGCAGTACAATGTCACTTGGTACGTGTCCTCCAGCCCCTGTGCAGCCTGCGCTGACCGCATTATCAAAACCCTGAGCAAGACCAAGAACCTGCGCCTGCTCATTCTGGTGGGGCGACTCTTCATGTGGGAGGAGCCCGAGATCCAGACGGCCCTGAAGAAGCTGAAGGAGGCTGGCTGCAGGCTGCGCATCATGAAGCCCCAGGACTTCGAGTACATCTGGCAGAATTTTGTGGAGCAAGAAGAGGGCGAATCCAAGACCTTTCAGCCCTGGGAGGACATTCAGGAGAACTTCCTGTACTATGAGGAGAAGCTGGCAGACATCCTGAAGTAGGCTCAGCCTCATGTGAGTACCAGTGGCATCTCTCTATAAACTGTCCTCTTGGGTAGGTGACTGAGGGACTGGTGTAATGTATATTTGATAATCCTTTCAAAGGATTTCATGTCTCTGTGGTTGGTTGTAAAAACATTTTAGAAGATCCATCTCCTTTGCTCTTTCCTCTAAATCTCTCTCCTTAAGTGCTTTTCTCTCCTACCCCTTTATATCAAAATAACTTTCCCCATAACTTGGGATACTTAGGTTGATAGGAATCTGAAAGCTTTCATGAGACAGGATGACTTTCTGCAGTAAGATTAAGATGATACAAGGGCCCGATTCTGAGCAGCAGCAGGGGAAACATTGAAATCCCCTAAGCATGCCCTCTTGGGTCTGGGTCTAGACACTTTTTAGATGCCCCGGTCCCATCTCCATTTGTAATCTTATTGTTCCATTTTCTCTTATGCAGGTTTTTTTCATTTCTTCAGGGGCTTTTTCATTTTAGGGACTTTACAAAGTCCCCAAATGGACTTGTATTTAACATTTTTTTCTCTCTTGCAGTTTTCATGTTTGCAAACAAACAGTTGCACTTTGAGACCAATAATTGTTGTATGAATGTATAATGCAAGAACATTTTTCTTAATTGAGAAGATCTCAGCAGAATGCATAGAAATGTGCTGAATACAGGACTTAGGATTACACAGCAACAAATTCTTCCATGTGGAAATGCTTAAAGGGTTAAAAAGAAGGGTGTAAATTAGGTAGCACTCAGAAGTAGTCTCCTACAGATACCAAGATGTGATAGGAGAACTGGAAGTAAAGATTAGTTATTTAAGCAAATAATTAGGACACAATTAAGGCCAATTTGGCCTCTTGCTGAGGGTAAATTAGACTTTTACAGAAACAGGCCGATTACCCTCAGGAAAGAGGGTAAAGGATCCCTTACTTTTTTTGAATTTGGTCTGATCTACTTTGCTCCCACAGAAATGCTATGATTGAGCCCCTTTAGAAGGCCTGATTTACTGACCAAAATCCTCCAGTAATGAGAAAGGGTCTTCCCCATTTCTTACTCAACTTTAATTCTGGAACAATTCACATATTAATAATAAATGAAAGCAGCATACATCCATAAAGATATTCAATTTATTTTGGTGTCTCTTCTTATAATTTTAAGAGAGGATGTCGCTTCATAGACATGTTTTGGAAATAATAGTGTTCCAGAGCTTGACATTGTCAGGTGTTTGCTATTAAACAGGCACACAGGGTGCCCGATCATTCTTAAGCTGAGCATTCGCCAATCCATGAAGACACAATTTTCAGCCATTTCTTACAAAAAAAGCAAGACCCATTCATTAACTGCAATGAGATTCTCTGTACACATATAATAAAGATTAATCTGAATGGTGGGGACTAATAATAAAAACAGATTTCCAAAGGTGATCTCTGAAAATACAAAATTAAATTTAAATACAAAATTAAATTCCTTGAAAATTTTAGTTAGAGTAGGTGTTACCACTGTAATTATATAGCCTCTATGCATTCTATAGAATGATGACTGCTAGCTTAATTTTAACTCCACTCTACTTTCTTCTTAAACATCTTCTCAGAGTCATGGGCCATTTCTTCCAGTTGCCCAACTAGCAAGTACTCAAGGATCTGTGTGTGTGTGCTGTTTATTTCCTGTTAAGTCATAATTAGGTAGCTAAATCTGCTATGAAAAGTAAGCATTTCAAGGAAGATTACAAAGCTTTTAATTTTGGATAATTGAGGGTTGGCTCTTACACTAATCTAAATAGAAGTAATATCGATAAATCAGTTGGAGGGAAAAGTTCATTTCTAAGTCAAATTATTTTGAAATAAAATATTATTGGACATGTTCCACATTACAAGCGTCTTACCATTAGTGCACATAACTGTATTATCCGCACCCATTAACATGCCTCCCTGTCCTCTATTTCAGTTGCTCATGTTCCTGAAGGGAAAGGTTAAAATGTACTGTTTAAAAAAAAAAAATTGGCATGAAATAGAGTTGTAATCTAAAAGCCAAAGAACAACTCTGCTTAATTAAAATACTCCCAAGAAATGGGCATTCGTTAAAAGAAAACTTGCCTCATATTTCTTATTCCATCTTTTTAAAAAAATGACAGAATAGGATATAACTCAAAAGAATAGAGTTAAAGCAGATCTCTTCTGGGGCTTTCTCTGTGTGCACAAGCCAAAACATGAATGAAACCTAATCCTGGATAAGCCAGAAATCACAGGAGACTCTGGGCAGAAATTCAGGGACTTGTTGGGGAAGGCACATGAAAACTCTAGCTCAAAATGGAAACTCTCCATTCTTTGGGACCAGCGAGGCTCTTAGTAACATATTTTGTTTTCCTGAAGGGTCTGCCTGCTGCCACCAAGAGACATCAGTGATGTGTACGGCCAACTGGGACATGTCTGACTTCCTAATACCACTTGGAGCCGAATAAAATTCAACCCCAACCAATCCTACTGCACAGGACCCCCTGAGGACTCAAAATATACTTTTCCTGCCGTAAATCATTTAAGCTGTGCTTCTCTCTTTAAGGCTGCTCTTGGGAAACAGGAAAGTAAGCTGAGGGAAAGGGCAACCATATATGGGCACCAGGCATATCTGGGAATAAAGGTCCTAATTATTCCCCCAAATGGGCTGCTTCAGACAAAAAGCCTCTGAGCCAAGGGGCGCACAGATCTTTGAAATATGTTCAGAAATGCATTTTATGTGAAGGTGGTTTATTTTTTAAGAAATAAAACTGGCAACATGAATAAAAAAAGGCAGTGTGGAGGTTGTCTGTGACCACGTGTTTTAAGGAACTTGGACATTTAGAAGTTACTATGGACAGTAACCAAGTTTTGAGAACAGGTATGTCTCGGGCTAAGAACCTCCCCATAACATTAGAAAACAGAAGGGAGGCTTGAACCAGGACTTGTCGAGGCAACACAGCATACTTACTCTCCCATACAGACTTCCCAATCCATTCTTAACTTCCATAAAACATTTCTGCCGTGATTAACTTGTGTCTTTTCCCTTCTCTGAAGACAAGGAAAATGGCAGGGGGTAAAACAAAAGGTGTGGGAAGTTTATTTATGAGGTACCCATGTCCCAATTGCAATGGACTTTCTGATTAAAGAGGAGTGGGGAGGAAGAGGCAATGTTGAGAGACATGCAGTGTTGAGAGTAGTCTGTGTGTGGCTCTTGATCCTGACACGATGATATTCAAAGCTGCATTTTTTAAAAGATTGGTCTGAGTCCTATGTAGAAGCAAAATTTCACATGTCAATTTCTGAGTGTTGCCAAACTCCAACTAGGTTTCCAGAAATAATGTGTTCATTCTGATTATCAGACTGCCTTTCCCCAGGCTTCAAGTGTGATAAGTCATTGGAATTTGACCCCAAGACTATTGGCAAACAACAAAGCACTTTATCACACCCTTGCTGAGGCCCAGAATGCTACTCATAGCTAGTTCTCCACTATAGTTTTTATTATAAGGATCATCAAATGTCTTACTCTATGAAAAAAAAAAAAAAAAACAAACAAACCCCTAATACCTGTAATTGCAGAGGAAGCCGAGAAAACCAATATTTTGACCCATATGGTAAAAGATTTGCACAGTAAGGCAAAAATAATTTGTCAAATTGAATTCCAAATTTCCTATCACCCCTTTCATTTTATACATCTTTGTATATATTTATGTTACATATGTAAATATGTGTTTGTGTATATTTAGGTATTTTTTCTTTTTTTTTTCCCCTTTAATTTAATGTGGATAGAAACAAAACATCAAGAAAAGTCTTACTCTAAAAGTATGATAATGAATTTGTCCCTGCACTGCCTCTTCTACCCCAACATGGAGAGAAATGAAATACTTTTTGAAACTGCTGTTTTGTATCAGGTTGAAGTGTGATAAGAACAGAAGTCTAAAGTACAAAGATTATATTTAACAAAGATTATATTTTCCTGGTGTCTCAACAAGCCCCTTCTTAAATCCAATTCTTTAACACTTGGGAAATAGCAAACCCTGTGACAGACCCCCAAATTCACTCTAAGGGAAAAAAAAATCAAGTCGGTATGCTTCACTCATAACAACACATTAAAAGGGGAAAATAAAACTCCTAGTTTTCCCACTACCTCTGATACTGAATCACTGGCTAAATGCATGAACCTTCTTCTCCCACCATGAAAACAAGATTGGACAAAATGCTACTCTTCAGAGTTTACTGTTCTCAATCCCAGTTGAGAACATAAGCATAATTCCTCTATGGAGCTTAAAAATACAAAGAAACCTGGCAATGCTCTCCAACCTCACTACCAAATTAGAATAGGTAAAAGGGGTGGGGAGTGCAGGGGGGCTCTATTTTTTTAATGTGGTTTTAAATTTCCTATGATTTTGTTGAGAACCACTTTAACAATGATTTATTAAATCATTACTCTGCACTAAACACTCTGCTAGGCATAGAACATGTATTACTTTACTCGTTTCATAAATGAATTCCCATTGGTTCAGTTACAGAAACTATGCGGTGGACAGAAGAGAGGCTGAGTTCCCTACAAGGAGGCTCTAAAACCCTGCCTCTTCAGTACTTTGACAGTTCTAGTCCATCCTTATTTTCTCATTTTATTTGCTCTTCCCACTGGGCCCTCTCTGAAATAAAACTCCTAGTTACAGGAGAACCCACCATTACCCAAGTCCAGAACTACATACGTGAGTACAAAACCTCATTGGACCACCAGAAAAAGATATTTATTTTTCCAAGTTGGTCACCACAAATTTGTTAACAACATAAAGCTCTATTTTGTAATTTAAAAAGAAAAACAGCCTATTAATTCTCTCTTAGGATGAATTTAATGACATAAGGATAATTTCAAGTAAATGCAAACAACAAAAGATGCAAATTAAAATGTTCATCCTTCCTGAAATTTCTCTTAAATAGCTGAGAAATAAAATCAACGCTGCCACCTAGTGGCACGCCAAACAAATGAGCTCACCTCCAGGAGTAAAATAGGGGTCATAGGCCCAACATTTGGTTTTCCTGCCTAATTACCAGGTTACCTACTCATTACCATCGTGCCCCTCCCCTGCAAAAAGAAAGAAGAAAACACAATAGAAGGGAAAAAAAAACAAAACCCAACATATACCAAGCAATCCGTCTCCTCCAGATTCCAGTCCAATCAGGCATACAGCACCCCAAGTCTGGCCTGACATACTACGTCACAAGATACTTTCCTTTGGCAGGTTTAAGGCCAGTCTCATGGCCCAGAAGGAATGACACAGGAGAAAGTGGGTACATCCAAAATGCTCATGTGTTCAAAGTGTATACACGGTAATTCTGATGTCTGTTGCCTCAAATACCTCTTCAATCATTGCGGATACATTTTCCCATTGCAGACGATCAAGACCACATCCGATCCTGAAAAAGAAAAAAATCCCCATTGGTTGTGGAGGAAGGTATCAAGGAATCAATCCTTCCCTCTTCCTTTAGGTTGTATCCACCCAAAGCATAAAGACAAACTGTCTAGTCTCACATCTATAGACAACTATGGTGGGAGTTCAGAAATTAATTCTGTTGAGTCATTGTGAGTCATCCAAGACTGCTCCCAGACAGTTCTAATATCCCATAGCTGTCACTTCTCTTTAGCCTAATAAGGTACCACTTCCCAATTATTTCAAGCTACATTAGAAATGTGTAACTCTGCTGTGACATGGTAGACTCATTATTCATGTCTACTGATGAAAACTAGCTGTGGGTAGTTTAAAAATACATGAATAATAATGGAACATTTAGAAAGATAAAAAGCAGAAGAGAAAAAAAGGACAGGTTCTCTGCAAAAAGGAAGTCAAACCAGAATGTTGGGAAATTCAGGTCTTTTCAAAATCCAGGTAAGAAACCTAAATCAGCCACAAAACTCTACCTGGCACCTTTCTTCCAACACTTTATTTATTCTCAACATCTCTAAGGGAAAAAGAGAGGCTAAAATTTTCTAATTTCACGTAACATGATAATCAAAACCCAGAAAAAAATAGCAATATAAAAAAAACAAAACAATTCAGCCATGAACATATTAAAGACCTGTGTAAAATGAGGGACCTTGGAAGATACAATCATAAGTAACTAGGGGCTTGGAAAAAAACCTGCATGCTAGGTCAGCACTGACTCATAACTAAGTGATGAGAAATGACCCCAAGCAAAGAGGATATTGACACCCCTCACCCCCCAATATCATTCCCTTAAGTTCTCAATAGCTAGTGTGTAAGGTGGAATATCAGGGACTTACTCTTTGGCTATTACTCATGCTGACCACAAACAAGCATGCAGTTTAAAAAGCAGTAAAAACTTACAACTTTCTTCTTACAGGATTAACTGGTTTGGGACACCCAAGTGGCCCTGAGGGACACCAACTGCTCAGTCTTGGTTCTTTAGCATATATTGCTTCAGGAATAGAGGATAAGTTTCAGACAGAGATGCCCATTCAACAAATGTGACTGAACAACAATGGTTCCTCCGTACTAAGCAGGCTGAGGCAGGTATTTTAATTATACTGAATTAATCGAGTCAGGCTGAAAAATGTGTATGCCTTGGTGAAAGGCCTGACCACTATTTCACTGGTGATTTTACAAAGTTTTTACAGTTGTCTATATTTAAGTTCATATTTTGGGTTATGTTAAGCTTTTAAGTCACTTGTCTTTGGGTAAGACAATAAATCCCACCAATCAATTAAGTCTTCAATTAGGAACCTGGATTTCCTTGCCTGGGCATTGAGAGGTCAGTGACTCCATTCTTCAGACAATGGGACTTCATGGCCTCCAAACTCTTCTGTAGGTTTTCATAAGTTGGCTTGTGTGAAGCCCTTTTCTTTGTAATCTGAATACAAAGAAAAATTCAAACTTCCATTAATCTAAAATGATAGCCAACAACACACCATCCCATTCTCCCAACATTCTGATAATGAAAATAAAAAGTTTATTTTTATAAAATAGTCCAGAGTAGGATGACAAATATTACACCATCCCTTTCAGTTATAGGAGGTGCCCTCAGGAAAATTCCCCTACTAGGATGTGAGAAACCCAGACATTGCCATGAAATAAACTTTCCTTTTCCGAAGAAGTCCTGGAGAGTAGCAGGTTATGCCTATTGTCAATTGCTTTTAAGCAAGTTAGGTGAAGTCTTTGTGCCACTTCCAAAAGATAAGCTGCTCATCTATAACAAGAAGAAACCTACACCACTTAAAAACTTAATTTATTTCAAAATTGTGCTTATTTTTTCTTTTCTATACTAGACCAGAAAGTAATAGTATTCCCAACAAAACTGGAAAATAGGGCCTACCTGTTGGCCTAGGGCTTAAAGCTCAGCACTGTCACTGCTACAGCATGAGTTCAACCCCTGACCAGGGAGCTAACCCACATGGCACAGCAGACCTCTCCTATCTTGCCCAGTGTATTTGGGTAAAATACCTCTCCTATCTTGCCCTCAGCAGTGTATTTGGGTAAAAATCTCCCTTTTCGGTAAAAATCCCCACTGTTTCTGGTGAATCCTCTCACCCACACACCTCTAACCTACATACCAGTTCTTCTATGCAAAATAAAAAAAAATAACTGGAATTCACATCAGCCTCAAGGACAGCATTCAAAGGGGCTACAGCATGTTCCCTACTTGATGCTTGATGTGCTGTCCAGATCAGGCACGATGTAGGTTGGTTATAATTCACTAAGGAAGCAACACTCTTTCTGGAGCTTTTGGACAGAAAAGGAGCTGAGTATTACATATCACTACAATAGGAAAGAATGAGAGAAAAATCCCTTTGGCCTATCTGTCTCGAGATATTATTTGGTTCTATCTCACTATTATTAGGAAGGAGCATGGGAGGTAGCCCTAATTTTTACCAGTCTTAGGCACAGGTCTTTGCTGGATGTCTCTCTATTTTTTCCCTACAACTGGGATGCAGCTTCATGTTCCTTTCCAATCCAATACGCCAAGTAGCAGCACCACTGAATCTAAGTTGGTATGAGATCATATGCTTTCTGACATTTCTGGTTGTCAGAATGAAACATCATGATCAACACAAATGCAGTGTGGCCCATCTGTTCACCAATTCTTAGAATGGATTGAGAATTGTCCCGTCTTACCAAGTAATATATATATCGCCCATCTCTCTTCAGAACAGCCACTTCTCCAGATTTCTTTTCTAAGAAAAACAGTTACTTAATAGTACAAAGAAAAAAAGAAAACCAAAACACAGATCTCCACTCTTAGATTTTTTAAAAATCTAATCTTTAGTAAGACCTGAGATTACTTCTGAACCAGAAATTCCCCAATCTGAAATAAAACCTACTATGAATACTTTATTCCTTATCAGCCTTCCTAAATACTGTATTCCTTCATTTCCAGGTTTTTTAATCATGTTTTCTCAATCATGTTTCCCACAACACCCCATCTTTTGTCCTGTCCCTATTTTCAAATACACCCTTACTTGTTCACTTAAAAATCTTGCATTTTTTAACTTGCCAAATGTGTTACATACAAAGAGTTAAGCATTATGGGGAACAAAAATATATGTTTCCCACTTATTAAAGAGCTTCCAGTCAAGAGAAGTTGTGATGGTTACAAATAACTGCAATGCAAAGCTGTAAGAAATTGCTTTCTTAAAGGAGTCACCTATGGGAACTGATTCCAGTCAGCCTGGCAACTGTTTCATAAGATCCACATATGATGATTCTAAGACTCATCTTTGACTTAAAATCATGAGAGGTATCTATAAAGAAGAGGCTCCGAAAATCCTCATTGAAGAACAAGTACAGTATCAATAAACAAGATCATGAATGCCACACCTGTGGACTTTGCTAAGCACATCAGTTAACAAAGGTTTCAGAGAAGTAATAAAATCAATAAAGTTTTATAATAGAGAAGAGAGGATTAGAAACTTTTTAAAACGTTGGTCTATAAAGTACCCAAACTAGAGGTTATTCTGTGGAGGAAAAAAAATGTAAACAGAAGAGTTAAAAGCACTCTTTGGTTAGGAGCCCCCTCTCTGCATGTCTATCTTGTTTAAGAGCTCAAGAGGATGTTTTAGTCAGGATAGAAGAGGTAAACTGTTTTCAAAACTCACGTTGATTCAACAGTTCCTGCACCCCTCCAAATTTCTTCTTGAAGAGGACAGCTATCCCAGCACCCATTCGACAATCCTCACTGATACAGTGGCATAAGGAGTCTGTTTTGGGGCATGCAAAAAGGTCTCCTTTCATATAAGTGATCTAAAATGTGCAAAGGGAAAGAAAAGATTTTATTAGATACAGAAAAATACTGAGGTCTTTCATGTTCCTTTACTGTGTCCCTGGCCACTATTTCTCCCCCTCCTTTATTTAAAGCCAGATCCTCAGAATTTCAGGATTAACTACAAGAGATTAAAACTTGTATAAAAGGAAAGTGATAGATGGCCTGCCTAGGGTTGTATTAGCCTCTCTGAAGTAAATCAGCGGAAGAGAAAAACACGACAATTCAATTATTGGTTTAATTAGAAAGTTTATGCTTTTGACCTCAATTATTCTGAATTTCTGTTCATCGTTAAGTTAATGGTTGTTACGCACTCTGCTTCCTTCTGGATCTTCATTAGGGCTGCCGGCCATGATACTGAGTCTCTCTATCTTCAGAATTTAAGTAGTTTCTTCAGCTATGAAAAGGGAAAAATAAGTACAAACGCTTAGGCGGCCTGAATATACCATACTCAGATTGCCCTCACCGCCCACTTATTTTTTCCCCCAACTTTTATCGTTGAATGTGGGTTCGTTTGGCCTCTAGTAAACAACACAAAACTCCTCTTGGGCAAGAAGAGGAAGGATGCCCAGGGTCGAAGGCAGGCTCCTCCTGCTCATTTTTCGCGCTCTCCAAGAGCGCCCCGCACCGCCAGCGGAAGAAAAGGCGGCCCCAAGACACGCCTCCTCCTTTCTCCGCGCCCAAGCAAGATGGATTTAGGAGACTCTTTTCCCCTAGTGGGTTTGTCCTAGAAGAAAAAAGGAAGGAATTGGCAAGTGCCATTAAGCCACAACTAGGGAGTGTAGTGCCGAGCTGCAGAGAGGGAAAAAAGAAGCGGCCTCCCAGAGGCTCAGCCCCTCTTGGCGGGGGGGGCGGGGGCAGGAAAGAAGGTTCACGGAGAAACCTCCCATTTCTGTCTCCTACCCTGGGGCGGGGCAGTAAGGGCGTAGGGCCTGTTCTGGGGTCCCCGAGGAGGAAGCGGGAGGCGCGTTCAAAGTCCCAACGTACCCGGGTTACCCTTCACCAGAAAAGTCGGCCGTTAGGAGGTCCCGCCCACGGGGGATGGGCTCCGGATCCGGCCCTGGTAGGTGGGAAGCAGCGGACGAGCCCAAACGCGGAGCCAATCCCGCCACAGTCCCTTAATTGCATGCACCTAAGATGGCGGCCCACCACGCAAAAGCGGGGCGGAAGCGAGCCCCTCTAGCTAGCCATCCGAGCCTGCACTCTTTGGTGATGGCCGTCGAACTTCCGGCGGCAAATGCCGCGGAGTCTCCAGCCGCCGGCCGGGCATGCGTAACGAGACCGCTGACCGGCAGAGGGGAAGAACGGCGCTTGCGCATTAACCCCAGGGGTGTGTCTCCAGTGGCCGCAGAGGAGGGGTTGGGCAGTTGGCGAAAGAACTAGTGTGCGCCTGCGTAGTACTACGTTCACGGCGGTTTTGAGTTGAAGGACTGGCGCGTCTAGAAGGCGCCTGCGTATTCCTTCCGCTGGAGGTGGTGTCAAATCAGGAGAGTGGGCGTGGCTTATAGGACGCCTGCGCAATGCCTCTTCAAGTGGGGGTGGGGCTAGGCCGGAGCCGGAGTTAGGGGCGTGGTCTTAGAGGCGCCTGCGCGGAGGCGGTTGGAGGGCGGCCCGATTCCCCTTTGTTCGAGTTCGCCATTTTGCGAGGCAGCGGCAGTGGCGGCAGCAGCGGTGGCTGGAGCCTCTGATTGGGTTTCGGGGTCCGGTACTGGAGCCAATCAGCGCGGGCAGCGAACCGGGGGAGCGAGGCACGGTGAGTGTGAGGAGCCAATATCCAGCGGCCCAGAGCCGGCCCCAGCGCCCCGATTGGCGGGTCTCGCTGACCACTCAGGAGAGGCCCAGGCGCCCGTCGAGCCCCGGGAGTCGAGCTGAGCCTAGCGGAGCAGGGTGGCCTGCGGCCCCGGCCCAGGGCCTGCGAGCACCGCAGGGCACTCCCGGCCGAGGCCTGCAGGGGGCCGCCCCGCGCGGGAATGACCCCTTGGGGAGCAGGCATCTCGGGGTCCAGCCCCTGGCAGGCTGCCTGCGCCAGTTGGGGGTGCCTGCCCGCTCCCCCGACCTGTAGGCGCAGGTCCGCAGGCCCCGGGCTCGGCGGCGGTGGGCTCGCCGGCCGCCAATGCCCTTGCACTCAGGTGCCGCGGCGCGTCCTGCCCGGGCCTCGGCGGCTTCCTCCTGGCTTGTTGGTTCCGGCCTCACGCTTAAGCCCGCCCCGGCACGCCGCGCTGCGGCCCCCGGGAGGGAAATCCCCTGCGGGCCCGCGCGCGCCAGCCCGCGGCGAGCCGGGTGGGCCAGTGCGGTCCCCCTGGATCCTGGGGCGAAGGCCTGAGGGAGCCGAGCGCGGCGGCCGGGGGCCGCCGGGAGTGGGGGCGGCCTCGCCCCTCCGGCGCCCGCACCGGGGAGGGGGTCCGTTGGGGCGCCCACTCCCGCGGCCCTGCCGCGCCCCTCCTCCCGGCGCGCCCGGCCCGGGTCTCCGGCCCCGCGCCGTTACCACCCCTTTTGGCTCGTCATTTCCTCTCCTCCCCGCCCAGCCTGTCCGGGCAGAACCGCACACCTCCGTCTTGGAGCTCAACCAAGCGGTCTCTCCGCCTTGCCCCTGCTCCGAAGCCTGCCCGTTCGGTGCCTGGAACCTCACTCTTCGGAGAGGGCTAGTCCTGCGCATTTCTTTTTGCGGAGGCAGCACGCCTGCTCTGCATATTATGAGTCTTCCTGATGGCTCATCTTATCAACGCTCCCTCTCTTGGGAATGTGCAATTCTTTTTTTCCTTTCACCTTCCTGTGTCACTTTGAATATGTCAGGTTTAGTAGCTCCATCCACGGCCATCTCTAATCGCTAGGGTTCCCCCCTTCCCCCCCCCACCGCCAAGATATGTTTTCTAATCTCATTTTAACGTATCTCAGGCCTTTATAGAAACTTAACAGTGTTGTGGCATTTTCATTAGGATGGGAGGGAATCTCCATTGATGTTGACAACGAAGTATGGCACAGTTACGCTAACAGGCACCCGACGCTGTGTGCTGGGGATGAAGTGGGTAAAGGTCAATTTCTCTTTGGCAGGTGAATTATTAATACCTAATGGCTAGTGCTATAATGGGGCCAAGTTCAGTTCTGTCAAGTACTGATGTGAATTACCAACAACAGCCTTAGAGGCAGGCTCAAAAAAGCCACACTTTTGTTTGACTCTGAAAGATTGCATTGCTCTCAGAATGCTCTTACTTGATATTTGGTCGGGCCAGTGGGGAATGTTGGTGAGAGTATGGGCTGGAAAACACAGTTGGTAAAAGCATTTGTGTCTCTTGATAAGGATTTTTTCAAAACATTTTTTCTGTGGTGGTGCAGAGAGAAGAAGTAAGAAAGTAATTTTTTTCTAAGGTTGAAAAACAAAAGTTTCTGACTGGTGGTTCTTAAGTATGACTGCCTGGCTTTAGGGAAAGAAAAGGCACATTTCTCTCCTAGGACTTCAATAGTTTTTACACAGTCCCTGGCATTTGGAGTAGGTCTTCAGTATATGGTGATACCTGTTTCTATCATCACATTTGTTACTAAGACTGTAACTGGTGGATTTAAGAAGAGTCCTTGTCTAGTGTTTTTTTTCTACTAAAATTTTGGAGACAGTTTTTGTTTTCATTTTTGGACTAGTTTTTTGTTATTTAAATCATTTATCTTAAGTTCCTTTAATTTTTAGATTATGAGACAGCATGATCGAGGTGTCCAAAAAAAAAAAAAAAACATTTGATTTTTGGAATAGGTGTCTTAACCATGGCATTTAAATATAGGTATATCTGGTCACTTCAGAACTAGCAAACACTTTTGTTAGACTTCTTTCCAAAAAGCAGTTGTAGTCTGGTCACTTTTTGTTAAACACTTAGACCTTACACCTGTCTGCAAAAGAGTTTTCCCTGGAATTTTGAGAGATAGCAGCTTGGCCTTCTCTTCACATGGGGCCTTTTGGTCTGCTGTTCATAGACTGAAATTTTTCTAGATATGTTTTTATGTTCTTCGTTTGGAGTACTTCCCTCCTTCCCCAACACACGCGTTGTCTCATATTCTTCTCAAATTTAAGACCAGTTCAGAGGAAACATTTCTCTAAAAATCTTCCTTGATTTCTCTCTCCCCAACTGGAAGAGATCTCTGTGCTCAAAAAGAAAAAATAACTTTTGGGGCCTCCTCTGGTGGCGCAGCGGTTGAGCGCTGGTCTAAGAAGCTGCCCGCAGGTTCGATTACCCGCCACTGGCGAGGGTCCCACATGGTACTCAGACCTCTCCTGCTGCCCGCTGCTCCCCTCAGCAGTGTATTTCTTCTGTCTGTCTGTCCTGTTCCCCGCTCTGGCGAATTCTCTCACCCTCCTGCGCTTCTGACTCTACCAGTGCTTGTATAAATAAATAAATCTGTTAAAAAAAGAAAAAAAAGAAGTAATTTTTCTCCAAACTCCCACATTACTTTCTTAGAGTTCCAATATAATTTTTATGCCTTTACTAAACTTTAAAGACTCTGAAGTTAAGATCTTTGTTAGACTTGTTTTTGTTTTTAATTTCTAAATCCTTCAGGACCATGTCTGGCACATGGTCCATCATTAGTGGAGAGAAAGCAAATTAGGAACTCCACTCCAAAAATCTCAGATGATGGGGAGGGCTGGACAGCCCTTGTTCTCTAGTGTTGTATCAGAGACAGATCAAGGCCTATTTGAGTTGTGAAATCAATTTAACGGGCCATTTTAGCTGGTGATTTTTTGTAGTAGTGATCAAAATGCATCTTCTGTAAGTATTTGTGACACACATTTCACCTTTTTTTTTTTTTTATCCATGCTGTGAGTTGTGGTCCAAAAAGTTTGAAGACTATTATTCTGGTCTTTGCCTGATGGCTGATTATCAAATATGCTAATCTTGAGGGGCATTTGACACACTTACAGTTGAGTTTCAGCTTTAAAATAAGGTACTTACACTTAGAATGGATTCCTAGTAGTTGACTGCATTTCAGTTTCTGTACTTGGAAGTGGGGAGGAAGAGAGTGTGTGTGTTCGCCAGAATAAACACACAATCAAAGAAAAAGACACTCAAAACTTGGAATTAGAAGCTAGAGCTAGACAGACTAAATCTGGCTGGCTTCATTTTGTTAGACTCTTGGGCAGAGAAGTACTTGAGAAAAGATAGTATCAGATTGTACTACAGTTCTGCTAACAAGCTCACAGTAGTAGGAACATGGCTTCACTGAGGCCAGTTGCAATAGCATTCACCATTAGCAGTCTCATCATCATGCTGCAGTGGAATCACTCCCTCATAGCAATTAGATTTGAGGCTACTTCCTTTTTTACCTTTCAAAGTATATTGCATTTAAGTGTTCTAAATGGGCATTTGATTATTGGCATAAATTAGTTAAGCAAATCTGTGTTATGTTATCTTCATTCTTATACACTTTTGACTAAGATGTAAACATTTCAAAATTAGTGGTTGAAGGAAAAGCCTCTTACAGGAAGGAGATTGGAGTGGGAGTTTTAAGATAGAACAATCCAATCCACTTGCCTCACTTTTTAAATCAACTTTACTGAGGGTAATTTTAGTGATACATTTTGATGAGTTTGACAGATCTATACGACTATCCACCCATCACTATAATGAAGATAAGAAACATTTTTTTTTATCACCCCAGAAGTTCCATATGTTCTATGCTAGTCAACCTCCACTTTCTCCTCTCCCCCCTTTTCTGGTCCCAGGGAAACACTTAGGTGCTTTTTCTGTCTTTTAAGGTTTTGTGTAAATGAAGTCACATGCTCTCTTATATCATGACTTTTAATTCTTTAATTGTATTAGTTTAGAAATATGTATTAAGATAGAGTTTAGAGTCTTTTCCCTGGCAGAGCATTTAGTCTAGCTGAAAACTAAATTTTCTATACTGTGCCAGAATGTCTTAGGAACTGACTTAATCAACGAATTCAGAAAAGACTGGTGTAAAAAAACAGAAAGCCAGTTTGTCAGTATGCAGTAAAAAATAGCTCAACTTTAGTTGTGTTGCTGATCATATTTGCTCCCTGTTGGCTAACGCATATGAAATCCAAATTATAAGCAGTTATTTGCTTGATGAGCATTCCATTAGCAAGAGGCAGTAAGTGGAAGAGCCATGTGGTTACAGACCATGATGCTGTGATGGATGGGCCTGTCATCCTCTGACATTTCTAGTTCTTAGACTCTTACATGATACACCATGTATTTTCAAAAATACAGCCAAGTGGAAAGAATTTTACAATACCGATATACCCATCACCTAAGGTTTACCACTAACATTGTGCCATACTTGCCTTATAAGACATCTGCCCATCTCTCCACCCATTCATTCGTCAGTCTATCCTTTTCAGAGTAAATTTTAGGCATCTGTACTTTCATTCCTAAATACTTGAATGTATTTTTCTTTCACACAATATTGAGGTCCCTTACAAGTGATTAATCTCATCCACTATTGAGTGTAGTGTCATTTCTACACTCTGTAATGGGTTCACATATGTTTTTGAAGTAGATCGTTATACCAGGTTCTCAAATATTACTTTCATTTATCTAATTGTGTTCTTATTCCAAACAGTAGTCTTCACCTGTTAAAAGTGTATGAAAAGGGTAAATTGGTCATCAGTTAGATACTTCATAATATTAAGGACATAATTAGTTTTTTGATCTTTGAAGTCACTTTGTAAAGACACAGGATTGTGATAAAATGGTAAAGACAAAGTTGTCTTTACTCTTTAGACATTGATGCTGAAATATTTCCAGATTTTTTTTAATAACATGTTGCCTGGGGTTTGCATCAGAATAGTCCAAGAGTGGGTAAAAAGTAAATGAGAAATATATGTGAAACCGGATTGACCTGATTTGAAAATTGTTGGATGGTAGTGATGGGTATTCATTATGGTGTTCTTACCACCTTTGTATATATCAGGTAATTGCCATAATAAAAAAATTAAGATCATACAACAAAGGTGGGCATTCATATTTCAAATCTGGAGAAAGTTCTTTTTGTAGAAAATCATACCTCATGATTTACGCATATCATTTAAGATTTTTCCTTATAGTGAATCTATAAATTCTATTTTTGCCATTAGTTATAATTCCTTCTTATTCCTTTTTCAAGATTAAAATGCACACTTCTAGGGACCTCCCTGGTAGCACAAAGGGTTATGTTGCAGAACTATGAAGCTATCCATAGCCACTGCAGCACAAGTTCTGTTAAGGGGAAAGGATGTCCTGAGCAAACTCCATACAGGCTTTCTGGGTGCCACTCCATCAAGACACTGGGAACTACAAATCCCATGATCCCCAAAGGGAAGTTGCAAGGACCTAGGGACAGGTTAAGCAGCCATTTTCTCTGTTTGTAAATAAAATCAGCCATGTTAGTGGGGTCTCTGGTACTTGGCTCAGAGGTATTTTGTAAATAAAACCAGCCATGTTAGTGGGGTCTCTGGTATTTTGGCCAGGCAGGTTTGGTCTCGGCAGGTCATTTGGGATTCCAGGTCGGCAGAACGGGTAGGACGCATTTAAAAATTTGTCTCCCTCTTTTCTCCCTGAGTTGTACATTTCCTCATTCCCCTTCCCTTGTAAATAAACCTTTTGTTAACCTTTTGTGTGTGAGTCCCTTTTAAGCACGCAGGTGAGGACCAACAGTTAGGCAACCCATTTTAGGGTGGGGTTGCCCTGTAACAATTCCATCCCCGGCCAGGGAGATAACCCACATGGCACAGCAGACCTCTCCTGTCTCGCCCGGTGCTCCCCTCAACTGTGTATTTCAGTCAATCTGCCTGTTCTGTTCCCCACTCTGTCTCTGGTGACTCTTCTCACCCCCCATGCCTCTGGCCTATATCCCATTTCTTGTATGCATAAATAAATGAATCTTTAAAAAAAAAATGCAGACTACTAAGCCATCACTAGGGCTTTCTTTCATAGCACTAAGTGGAGATTTTGATAAGAAAAATGTTTGACTTCAGATCTGGGTAAATTATTCAATAATAAAGCCTGAGATTTTAAATTGTTTTCCATATGTAGTGGAGGGCAGCAAATGTGTATTTACAAATTAAAGAAATTTTATTCCCTAAAGTTCATGTGCAAACCAGAAAACTCATTAATCTTCCTGTTACAAAGTGATATTGTAGTTTAATGAGTATTTCTAAGGTACAAGTGATGTTCTAGTAGTGTTGAAAGGTAAGTTTGCCAGTAAAAATGACAAAAAGCATCTTTTAAACGTGCAGAATACCATCATGATTATGTTATGTGATCTTAGTTTAAAATGATATTAATATAAACATTTCTTCTGTATTTTTATAAAGTACTATAATGATGGGTTATCAAGTTTAATTATCTGGCACGGCCTTGACAATCTCACTTTGTTTCTTTCCCACCCTTCATAACAGGCACACATCTCACAGTCTTCTAGGATCTCCAGGGTGAAACTCATTGAGGACCATATTCTGATTTGGAGGGACCATGGAGCAGTATACAGCAAACAGCAATAGTTCAACAGAACAGATTGTTGTACAGGCTGGACAGATTCAGCAGCAGGTAAGCAAGTCCGACTGCTTCAAACATAACAGCAATGGAGCTGATAACAGCCACTCAGTTGGGGGGTTGGTTATTATTTGAAGTTATCATATCTCAATGAATTTGATGGCTTTTGCTGAACTGGTTTTTGAAGATTCGATTTGTTGGGAGGGTGAGGGTGTGTATGTATGTGCATGTTTGCGTTTCCTCTGTATCCAGGCCATGACCACTTAGAATTTCCTTTTCATGGGAGCCTGATTTAATAGTAAATTACCCCTTTTATCTTTTTAAAAGTCAAAGCACCTTGTCTGTTTTCCAGTGGAATTTTGGATTTTTTGGTCTTTCTGGGTTCAGTTTTGTTGTTTCTCTTCTTGACTAAGGTAGCTTGTGAATCTAGTAAGGCTTTTGTCACAGTAGACAAACCAAGATAACTTCTAGTAAATCCACTGATCTGTGATTTGATCCACGACAGTGCTTATTCTAGCTTAACATGAGAATATTTAGGTGACCTTTCTTACAGAGAGCATCCTATTACAAAAGAATTCCCTGCTGCTGGTTTATCCCTAAGATTGGTTGCTTTATTGAATTTATACATAGTGTACATTTTCTGATGCTTTATATTGGCTTTAATACAGTAAAACTCCACTTGTCTTTCTCCTGAGGAAAAAAGAAACTTGGTTCTGTCTATCAATTTTCCTTTAGGCCAAGATTGGAAATGTTTTGTTTTCAAAATGGAACCAAGTTGATACAAAAAAGTAGCTAGTAGGGAAGGCAAAGGAAGTTACAATGTTGAGTTGTTATAATCTAGAATTAAAAGGAAGGAGCTACTCTTGATTGAAAGGAGATTATTTAAACACCTTTGCTGGCTTTTTTCCCCCCACACAGTTGCTGTGACTACCAATTTCCTTCATCCACCTTACAGGAGGGACTTCCACAAAGGGCCCTCCATTCACACCATTGCCCTGGTGGATGAATTTTTGTTCTGTCAGAACACTCCAGTTAGCGGGTATACCATTTAGGTTGATTCACTGAAAACATTGGTTTTGAGTTAGCTTGGCTGAGTAGAAGTAATCTTAGTTTTGAGATATAAGAGCAGTGACCTCCTGAAGATGATTTTGGTTCACAGTAATTGCTTCTTTCTTGTTTGTGGTGATTATATTTAAGTCCCAGAAATTCTTCATTGTAGCTTAAAGGCTATTAGAAACTGGTAACTTTGTTCTTGTGAACTCATTTGAGGAAATAAAAAGACCATTAAAATAACTGTAAACAGAAGGATCAAATGCCTATTTCTGAAGGAAAGGACTTGAAAAAAAATTTTGTGTTAATGATGACAACTACTTTTTGGTGTTTCTGAGTCACTGAAGTATATATTTTGAATAAAATTAGCTCTAGAATAAAGAGCTAATTTTTAATCCTATTACCATCAAGGTATAGGGAGTCTGTACAGTTTGAAAGCCCTGTGTAGGGTGGCGCTGTTGAAAGAAGACTCCCATAAGAGGTAAGGCGATCTCATGTCTTGAACTATACATTTCCTCCTGACACATTTCAAGCTCTTCCTATTCCTGTTCTCAGCAGCAGGGTGGTGTCACTGCTGTCCAGTTGCAGACTGAGGCCCAGGTGGCATCCGCCTCAGGCCAGCAAGTCCAGACCCTCCAGGTAGTGGTGCCCTCTCTGATTCTCTGTAAGCACTGCATGAACGTCTCCTCTCATGTCTGGTGCTACTTGTGGTAGGATCTGAAAGGAATGGCAAGTCAGTTGCATGTCTCTGATGCTGCTAACTTATCTTTGAGCCTTACTAGCCACCAGTTTCTTAATGATTTGTGCTATCATGTAGTGATCAGTATCAGAGCCTATTCAAAGCTCAAACTCTATAATCAGATGCATGGTAAAATTTCATGGATTTGTATTATAATAGAAAAGAAAATGCGAGGCTGTGAATTAGACTAGGCTGTGATTTATTTCTATTAAAAGGGCAGTTCAACTGCAAAACAATCATTGTATTTGGCAGGGTTTATTTAGTCATTGAATCTTGCTAATCTCTTAGTGCTGTATTCTTTCTACCAGTCCCAGGGACCTGTCTAATTACTACATCTGCATAGATTGCCCCTTCTCTCTTAGTTGTACACTGGTGGATATGCTTTCTCTAAGTCTTAAGTATAACCACTTGAAGAATTCTTATTTAACCAGTGCTATTCCCTAATACTACGTATGGCCAAGTTAGGTATCCCAAGTTACATTTTAGGCAGTTCCTATATATATTTTTTAAAAAAAGGTGTAGAACCTTTAGTCTTTTCTGTGTTTAGAGTTTACTTTGACTAACAAGGCCAGATTTTGAGAATTACAAGATTTGAATGCTCTATTGTTTTTCCCCTCCATTAAATAGAAATGATTTAAAGCGGCACCTAGAATGTGGAGCTGGCATCTCACCTTATTACTAGTGCTCCTAAGCATCCTGAAGTTAGCTGCCTCTATTGTGATCATTTACTATATCCTTTCAGCCTCATTTCTATACCTGCTACCTATAGTGTTTGATGATGATAAATCGCCAGTTCCAAACATAAATTAGGCTGAAAGAAGCTGAGCTTGTAGGTACTCCCAAACTGTATTTGAACCTCAGCATTCAACAGCTTGTTTGTTTTTTATGCTTGCTTCATCTTACTGATAACATTAAACAGTATTGTCATTAACCACTTGTGTGATGGGAATGCAATATGCTCTTAACTGTATGGCTTCTTGTCTGATGCATGTGTCCTTGTAATTATTCATATGTTGTGAACGCAGTAGACTCCTTGGAGTCTTAAATGGTTTATCATGTATATTTATGGCATGTCAATGAGGGAAGAAGTTGATGATAGTCAGAAAAAGGTGTTTCTAATCTATCGAAATTTTATTTGAAAGAAAAAGGAGAACCCTTTATGAAAGTAATGGAAGCTTTTCCTCTAGGGGTCTCATTTTAAATAGAATTTTAGATAGTTCTTTTACTTACTTACACATTATGTAATCTGAAATATCTTCTCTAATTGGAGAACATATGTAAGCATTGGTGTAGAAAAGAGAATTTGATATGGGATGGGGAAATGAGGAAAGGAGAAAGCATCAGATTGATGGTGTTTTAAAAGGTGATTTCTTAATGACATTTTTAACAAAACCTAGGATTTGTGTGTTCATGAAGATTCTGGTGGAGATGGTGGTGGTGGAGGATATCTTATCTACTTGTCTAAGATAGATTGATCTTTTAGCTCCTATTATTTTACATGCTTTTATTGGCATTTAGAATGACTGATTTATTTATATGAATATTCTTTTATTCTATTAAAAATCATCAAAACAAAGAATTCGAAAACAAATATTTTGGACTGTTAATTCTTCTGTTGAACATTCCATTACACTTCTAAAGTGGTTTGCTTTGGTTTCTAAAGAGTATTCTATCAGCTAGGTATTGCTATAATGGAACTCAAGATATTACAGAGCACTTAAAATTCCCTGGCTTCTGGAATATTCTGTTTATTCCTAGGAGCTTGAAAATTGGGAATTTTGAGGTACACTTCAGTGCTCTGTAGAATTTCCATATTTGCCATAGCTTCTGTTAAAATAACTGCAGGTATTCCATGGTACAGTGTGAAGGATTCTTCCACAGAGATTGCAAATTGACCAGAAAGTATTTAGGCATTTTTTTACTAGTAGACTCTTTAAACAATCACTGGACTAGAATTCCCAAAGTAAAGTGAGGAGGGTAAAAGGTATACATTTTATTTATGCTTGAGAGACTATGGGCAAATAAGGTTTCTATATAAACTTTAATAGCTGTTTGCTACCCAGCCTCCTGGTGTGCAGTTTGACTTATTCTCTCCAGGTTGTTTAGATGTTATATACACAGCCACCATCATCACCATTAGCTATCCTTTCTACTTCCTCTTTAGCTCTCACTATTCCTGGATATTGGTCTCAAAAAGCTGATAGTCTTGGCCTTTTGATTAAATACCTTTCATGGATTTTTGGCTATATTTGGGGGTAAATACTTTAGTGAGACTTCTCAGTGACTTTGGACATACCCCATTATATCTGACCTTAACAACTTGGCATCTAGTTGAAGGTATCATAGATTTTTGAAGACGATAATGTGAGGATGAGGTCTTAAGATTTATTTTCTTAAGGTCTCGCCTACTTTTCCCCTTCTCCCCTAACAGGACAGCAGAATAGCTCCGTTGTCTTTTGTTAAAAACCATTTTGTGTCCTGTGTTATTTCATTGTTCTTATTTTACTTAATTCTAGGTCCAGGGGCAGCCATTAATGGTACAGGTCAGTGGAGGCCAGTTAATCACATCAACTGGTCAACCCATCATGGTCCAGGCTGTCCCTGGTGGACAAGGCCAAACCATTATGCAAGTACCTGTATCTGGGACACAGGGTTTACAGCAGGTGAGTGATATAAAAAATTGTCTAAATAGTATTTGCAAATAGAGGTTTTAAAGAAAGAGTTGTTAACAACTGTTTGAGCATTGGTTCGTGTTTAATTGTTTTCTACCCTCCTTTTGCATTTAGTTGATTTTTCACTTTAGGATTACCAATAATATAAAGTAGAGCTATACAGAACTTGGAAACCTCTGGTGAGGATTAAGCTACTAGACATAAATTTGAATCAGTGTAAAGAATATAGAGATGAGAATCTATTTTAATAAAATTAGAATATTTAGAAAATAAAGTAGTTAAATTAGGGCGCTAGTGTGACTTCTGTTGGCACACACCTGTTGGCAATTGGGGAAGGAATTTATAGTCTGCCTTGGAGATTGTTGTTTTGGTCAGTAAACCATCCTTTTCATGTCTTTCAGTGTAATTTAAAGGTTGAGTTAACTAGCAAATAATGAAAGAGAAAATATTGCAGTCCAAACCCATATCTCTCACACACACACACACACACACATACATCCCTGCAGTTGTACTTAAAACAAAATTTATCACCTTAAATAGACAACTAACAAACATAAAAGGGGATAAGTAAAAAGTTCGTTCTTTAACTGAATAAACAAAGAAGTTAAATCTAATGGAAAGACTGATTGAGAAAATAGATAACGAAGTAAACAAGACAGAAGTAGAGGTAAAAGAAGCATGTAGGATTTTTATATGAGACTCACGTCAAATATTTAAATGAATGGACTTTTTATCAAGTTAGCAAAAATTGAAAGAATGATTATATCCAGTGCCAGTAGGTTGTGGGGTAAAGGAAACATCCATTAGTTTTCAAATTCAGAAGTCATTTTAGAAAGGCATCTCACTGTTATATAAACCTTTGATTTACCTCACTTCAAGAATCAATCCTATATGAAGAAAAGGATGGATGTGTATGGAGAAGTGTGTAGACATTTATTGCAGCATTATATTTTAGTCATACTCTATTCACAATGTAAAACTGTGTCAGTATTAAAAAGGATGAACTGTTGACATGGTGGGTGGTCAATATTGAACTATTTTTTTGTGACAAATAGACGAGCATATATGCTGTGTGACTTTTATCTTTGTAATTAATAGCCAACAGCCATTCCCCACCTCCTAGGGATGTATATCTAATATCATAGTTTGTCTGGAGGAATTTAATATAAGTTGAAATAAATCAGTCATAATTACACTGCTTGATAAATTTCGTTTTTGTGTAGCCCCTTGTATTCTTTAATGTATACTTTTGGGGCACAGTTATACCATACATGTACTTTTGGTTTGGAATTGGTTGTTTTTGTTTTGTTTTGCTTTATTTTGTTACTTTTTCTAATTTAACTTAATTCTACATTGTTTTCTTATTTTTAATTCCTTCATAATGGCCAACGTAATTAATCAAAATTTACAAAAGGTATTTGTAGTTAGGGTTTTTTGTTGCTTTTGTTGTTTTGCTTTTATAGGTAGCATTATTGTAAATTGAGTTTGTGATAGTTTTTTCATTTTAATTAATTCTTAGGGAATTTTTTTTTTTTTTTGAAGTGAGGGGAGTGCTTGAACAACAAGTATGAGCATTTTTAAAGCTATTGACATATTTTTGCCAAGATAGAGTTGTACTTAGGATTAAAAATAATTTGACACTTATTCATCCATAAATGTATGAAACTTTAAATTCATTTCACACTGCTACTTCATTTCTGTCCTCATTTTCTCTAGTCTTCCTTGCCATGTTTTGCTCTCTACTCTTGAATGACATTGTAACGTAGTGTGAGTGTAGTGGTCTGGCTTTATTCCCAGGTCTGCCATTAGCAAGCTTTCTGATCTTGGCTAAGTCATTTAATTGTTGGTTTTCTCTTCTGAAAGTTCAGTTTATATTAGATGATTTCTGAGGTTTCTTTCAGTTTTACGTTCTATGAGGTTTCTTTCAGTTTTACGTTTATGGGATTTTTTTTTTCCCTTTGGGTTTTTGTTTGTTTGTTTGTTGGAGCTTAGGGATCTGTTTGTTTGACCTTTAAAGAGACTTTGCACATTTATTTTATTCCTCTCACTCTTAGTAAGACTAACTAAAACTGTCCTGAAAAAGTTATTTTCCATAAATATAGGCTCTAAGTAAGATTCTGTCTCTTTTATGAGAGGCTATTTATCAGTGATTTTTGAATAACCATTTCTCTTAGCAGAATGCTTCCTAACCTTATTTGGTTAGCATTCTCTATTTTAGAATGTGAGTAAAACCTGGGACCTCTTAGAGAAGGTACAAATGTCCAGATGGATGCAAATTTTGTAGCAATTTTTGGCTAAGATCCTTGACTTCATATAGACAATGGAACTAAAAAAGAGAGTTAAGAAAAAGATTTAAGAATGTTTGGAGTTAATACAGAGCAAAATATTATTAATGAAGAAATAGTTTGGGAATGAAAAAAAGAAAACGAGCTCTAATTCATACTACATACAAAAATACTTTCTAGGTAAAGCTCTAAATGTAAAAAAGCATACTTGGAAACTTAGATTCCCTTTACAGGAGACTACTTTATGCTGTGGGGTAGAGATGGGTTTTTTAAAGACATAAAAACAGATTTGATTACTTTAAAACAAAAACTTATATGTATTAAAGTATATCATAAATTAAGATGAAAGACAGACTTGGGAGAGAATTTTTTTTTTTAAATAACTGGGGTTTGTATCCATAATAATGAAGAAATTCTGTATATTAGTCTGAAAAATAACAATTCAGTAGAAAAATGGTCAAGAATATGAATAGATGAAGAGGAAATTAGATATTTGACCACTAATTAGATATTTCTTACTATCCAAAACTCAGGAAATAGATTTAGATAAATTTGTTTATTCACCAATACTTTTTAAGTACTAGCTATGAACTAAGTATTTGGAAAAAGTAGTGAAGAAGACCTAGGCAGAGGATTCTGGGACGATGTTGGAATAGGATGCATCAGAAATCTGTCTTCCAACCTAGACATTGGTTGCATTGGTAGAATCTGTCTTGGGTAACTGCACTTAAGTCCTCAGTGTCATTGTGAAGTCTCAGAAGAAGAAGGAAAAGAGAAAGGAACAGAGAATAAAGAAATAATGGCTGATACTTTACCAAATTTGAGGAACACATAAATGTGAACATACACTCTGGGGTTAAACTGGGGAGAGTCCACTTCTAGCATTACTTAATGTGATTCTTGGCGGGCCTCGAGACCTTGCTATTGGCTGAGACCTATCAGTTCCTTGCCATGTGGCCTTCTCCATAGGACAGTTCATAAAGGCAGCTGTCTTCCCTAAGGGAGTGTGAGAAAATGAGAAGGCAGCAAGATGTAAGTTAGTCTTACTGTAAGCTAATCCTGAGTGTTGCCATACTCTGTAAGAACTGAGTCACTGGTTCCAGCACACTCATTAAGAGGATTATATAAAGGGGCAGAGACAGCTAGGAACCATTTTATTTTTTTTTTTTTATAGAGGTATGTTTATTTATTTGTTTGTTTGTTTTGTTTATACATGCACTGGGTACAGTCAGAAGCGTGGGAGGGTGAGAGAATTCACCAGAGCCAGAGCAGGGAGCAGAACAGGCAGAAGGACCGAAGTACACTGCTGAGGGGAGCAGCGGCGGCAGAAGAGGTCTGCGCGCCATGTGGGACCCCCTGGGGAGCAGCCGGGGATCGAACTGGAGCCTCAGAGGCCACGGGCAGCTTCGCAACCCAGCGCTCAACCGCTGCGCCACCGGGGAGGCCCTAGGAACCATTTTAAAGGCTGCCTACCACATATATATCTCCTTTAACACAGGAATTTTGTCCTTGTACTTTAGGAACTTACACATTAACATAAGGAGAAATTCATTTCAAAACAAAATTGGAGAAAAACCCAAATACGGAGAATGAATAAATTATTATAAATTATAAGTTACAATGTAACTATTTAGCATGATCTTTTATACCAGTTAAAAATTAACTTGTAAATTTTATTTCAATTGGCTGTATCTTGAAAAGCGTGTTGACTAAAAACACCTTGTAAGAAGTTACAGTATGGTACCATTTATAGGAGGTTTATAAACATAAAACTGTACCACATGTACATGTGTGAACTAAGCTTTGTAAGAATGGTAACCAGGTTTAATCTGGTGATTGATTACTTTTTCAATGGGAAGGGAACATTAAAAGAACTGAAGCAAATACGATTGACCTTTAATTGACCTTTAAGCAAATATGATTGACCTAAGGTGCTAAATCTGAATGGTGACTTAAGGGGTGTAGTGATTGTCTCAACTTTTCTGTATGCATTAGGATTTTGAATGTGCATTTTTATAAAATCCCAGCTTGGAATTAGAAAAATTGGAAGTAGTGTTTTTTCAACATTTTGTTAATAAAAAACTTGACACAAAAACAAAGAGAATGGTATGATGAATCCCCATCATCCCACTTCAGTAATTATCAACATATAATGTCTTCTCCCTAGTTTCATCTCTTCCCCTCCTCTCAAGGATTATCCTCCTCTCAAGGATTATTTTAGAATATTTAATATCATTTGAACTGTAAAAATACTGTAGATTGGTTCTTTTAAGTGAAATGCTTTAAGCAGTACATAATCCTGCCAGCACTTTTTAATTATCTCTAATTTATAATAGAGAACAGAATAGGGCTTTCTTTGTCTTTATTCCTCTTCAGAGCATTTCCTGCTTCCTAATCCAAATTCCTCTCCACGGACCAAATGAGACCAGTGTCAACAAGGTACTAACTTTACTCTGTGTTTTCTTCACAGATACAGTTGGTCCCACCTGGACAGATCCAGATCCAGGGTGGGCAGGCCGTGCAGGTGCAGGGCCAACAGGGCCAGACGCAGCAGATCATCATCCAGCAGCCCCAGACAGCCGTGACCGCTGGCCAGACTCAGGTAACTCCACTTGCTGTGTTAACCCAGCAGCACAGCTGATTAGGAAGAGTCAGATAGTTGGGGCAAATATTTCACATGTAGCAAAAATGGGAAAGAAAACATTTTAAATGTTTCCCCCAAAGAAAGAACTACATGGTTCTTTTCATTGTAGTGACTTTGGAATTCTATTCAGTTCTGTTATTTCCTTCTTGCAGACACAGCAGCAGATTGCTGTGCAGGGGCAGCAAGTGGCACAAACTGCTGAAGGGCAGACTATCGTCTATCAGCCAGTTAATGCAGATGGCACTATCCTCCAGCAAGGTAAGTGTGCCTGATTATTTGGGAACCTTGTCGGTGTATCTTTTCTTGATGACTGCTTGATAAATTTTGACCTCTACATGATGTGTTTTTGCATAAAAAAAGATTTCCTCTAAATTTCCATAAATTGTTGCTTTCTTTTCTCACCAATATGTAACCAACATCAATTCCATGTGTAGGAGTTCCTATGGTAGTTATTAAAAGTCTGATCCTTGGGGTTATGTAAGCTTTCTGCGGAGAAATGTTTCTAGTGCTAAGATTGGGAAAATGAAGCTTTTTTAAAATGGTAGGACAATGTAGTCAGAAAATAAGTTCTCCAGCTTTTTTCAACACCCATTGAAAGCTTATTGGAATGCCCAGGAATTATCCATTTCAAGAGTGGATTAATTCAGAGCTGGAACCCAGACAGTTAATAGAATTACACAGATTGTAATTACTTGGGTCGTACATAGCAAACCAGGAATAGAGTGGGAGAGTACTCTTTCTCTCCTTGCCTCTTGTGCTGTCTGCTGGCATGTTTCACCAGGGTGAATGTGTGTGTGCCAGATAGAAGAGGGGCTAACGGTGTTCCCTTCTTTCTGTGTATCTGTTTTTTGTTTGTTTTATGTTTTATTTTCTTAAAGTTACAGTCCCTGTTTCAGGCATGATCACCATCCCAGCAGCCAGTTTGGCAGGAGCACAGATTGTTCAGACAGGAGCCAACACCAACACAACTAGCAGTGGACAAGGGACTGTTACTGTGACGCTGCCCGTGGCAGGCAATGTGGTCAATTCAGGAGGAATGGTTATGGTAAGAAAATGGGTTCTTTGGCTCACTGTTCTCATCTTGAATTTACTTTTCCATCATTTGTCTTTGAAAATTTCTTAAATTTTCAATTTGATGTGTCTTATAAGGTTTGTTTATAGTGTTGACCTCTTAGGATTGAGATTGGCCCTTAAGGCACTTACCAAGGATCTGCTTTTACAATACACATTTCAATGAGCCTTGGTTCATTCTATGCACCTACTATGTTCCAGGGACCATTCTAGGTGGTGGAGATATAGCAGTGGATAAACATGTAAATACCTGTTTTTATGTGACCTTATTCAGAATTCAAATAATGAAGGTACAGATAAAATACTAATTATTGGGAAGTGAAAATATATTGCTGATAGTAGGTGAAACAAGAAATAAATTAGTTTTAAACGATTGTAATAGAGAAATCTAAAAATTCATGTATGAATATGTTGGCAAGATAGAGGAGTGTAGGGTGATTTGAGTGAAAGGTAAATCATGTCAAAATAGGATGTCAGTATACTCTATATTGTGCTGACACTAGATAAATTTAAGAATGAGCAGTAGAAACCTGACCATAGTATGGAAGAAGCTGCCAGAAGAAACCAATCAACCCTTTACAGTTGTTACAGTTGGGAAAGGAGTAGGGTACAAGAGCCCGCCACTTTTTTCCTCAGAAATTTAGTACAGTACTCTGGTGGTTTTGTTTTTTTTTTTGTTTGTTTGTTTTGGTTTTTTTTTTGTTTTTTTTTGTTTTTTGTTTTTTGTTTTTTTTTTGTTTTTAGAAAGGATTGGATTATAGTAAATTGGCCAAACAAGTTATGTAAATCCAGCATTTAGTGGCATTTGGAACAGATGTTACTAGAAAGTGGAGGCATGGATGGACACAAATTTGAATCTTCACAATGAGAAAAACCTTGTCTTTTCTCATTGTGACTCCTGGGCTCCCTGTAACAGAATCATTTGGAATCTGCGTTTTATTTAGTGCTGTATAAAATCTACAGTATTTAGCATTCATGAAAAAGTAGATTAACAGTGACCAAAAGACTTTCCTGTGTCCACACTTGATGCCACTTTTTAAAGCTTTGATTTTCTCTGCACACAGATGGTGCCTGGTGCTGGCTCAGTACCTGCTATCCAGAGAATCCCTCTACCCGGAGCAGAGATGCTCGAAGAAGAACCTCTCTATGTCAATGCCAAACAGTACCACCGAATACTTAAGAGGAGACAAGCCAGGGCTAAACTGGAGGCAGAAGGAAAAATCCCAAAGGAAAGAAGGGTATGTATAGTGATCGTTAAGGGTATCGGGAGAGAACAGTAACAGTTCTGCTTTTGAAATGGCCGTTCATATGTTATCCTTGAGTACTTCCAGACAACTGAAGTTGGGATAGCTGTTACCTTTTTATAAAAGTTTGCATTTGTTATTGTTATATGCAGCTGCTACTACAATAACCAGAAAATTGTAGTGGTTTAAATGAGATTTTCTCTTTTTTCTTACATAAAAGAAATGGAGATATATTGTCCTGCTCTGGTATAACATTTTCACAGTCCTCAAGCTCATTCTCTCCTGACTGTTTCAATGGTCTCAGCGTGCTTTTCATAGTCTAAATGGCTACTTGGGCTCCAGCCTTGCAGCAAAAGGAATAAGAAAAGTACCCCCCCTTCTTTTTTTTTTTCTTTTTTATTAAGGAAACTTTCAGTAAGAATTAAACTGCATGGCCACACTTCATTTGCAAGTTAGGCTAAGAAATGCAGTCTTTTTAGTGAACAGCCATACTAGATACTGTCTAGTGTTTATCCAAAGCTTTCTCTGTAATTGAGTCATAATTGCCTCTGGTGGCTTTGATCATAGCTGTTCCAAACTTTTTGAGGCATTAGATAATTGGTTTCAACTAGCAGTTAAATGGTTTTATTTGTCTTATTTTAGAAATACCTTCACGAGTCTCGACACCGTCATGCTATGGCACGGAAGCGTGGTGAAGGTGGACGGTTTTTCTCTCCAAAGGAAAAGGATAGTCCCCATATGCAGGTGAAAAGATTGATCGTGTCCATTCTTAATGGGGAGAAGTGTCCACTTGCTATTTTCTAGTCCCTTGCTATTTCCTAGGGACTGATCGCAGTCTCTAAATTAAATGCAACTAGTATCTCTTAGGTTCCTTTGCATCTTAAAAGCACTACTGGTCTTTAATCCTGTGGCCTTTCTTCCCCACAATTTTTGCCAGTTATTACTATTAATTCCTTCTTAAAATTCTTATTTTCTTGATTTTCAAAAAGCTAGTTCTGTCTCTTGATGTAATAGTAGCAGCAGCTGATACTGCTGTCAGAAATTGTGTTAAGATCTTTTAGAAGCTTTTTTCCTTTGCTCATTAAATCTATTCTGTTAGCTACTATTCTGGTTCTTACATGTAATTCTACTGATTGTATCTTATCAACATTTCTGAGTCAATATATCCAAAGTAGAACTTCTGATTTTTATTTTATCTTTTTAATGCCTAAACCAGTCACTAATCTCAAAAAGGAACACATCCAGAGTCTCCCTGGTGGCGCAAGGGGTTAAGCACCACACTGTGAAGCAACCGACAGCCTCTGCAGCACAAGTTCAATCCCCGGCCAGTCAGAGAGAAACCCACATGGCGAGGCAGACCTCTCCTGTCTGGCCCGCTGCTCCCCTCAGCAGTGTATTTCAGTCAATCTGCCTGTTCTGCTCCCCACTCTGTCTCTGGTGAATCCTCTCACCCTCCCGCATCTCTGGCCTGTACCCCAGCTCTTGTATGCATAAATAAATAAATAAATGTTTTTTGAAAAAAGGAACATGTCCATCCACCCAGTTGCTAAAGCTAAAATTGTACAATTCTGGAAGTGCTCCTCTTGATTTTTCCTCTAAAATATAACCTGAGTCAGTTTACTTTTTTCTCCACCTACTGCTGTTGTCAGCCTGGTCTAATCCTTTCCTTCTGTTTGAATTAACCCTTTGTACTCCGAACCATTTTACGATATTTTGATTTAATTTCTTGTGCCATTTCAAGATAAAACTTCAGGAAAACATGCATGTCTCAAAAAGTTGCGTTGAAATAACCTCAATTCCCCGTAATTACTAATAAATTGCAATGTCCCCTGAGAGGGGACATCCGAGTGATATGCTAGAATTCCAATGTCCCCTGAGAGGGGACAGCGGAGTGCAAAGGGTTAATATAACAGCTCCCTCCTGGTCTCCCTTCTTCCACTCTGTTCCCCTCTAGTCCATTCTCTGCATTGCATGTGATGGTGCAATCCAGCTTAAGCCCCTGCCACCTTTACCCTTTCACATTTGCACTTAGAATAAGTGCCAATAAGGCCCTATGTGATCTAGCTTCACGTACCTCTGGCTTCATTTTATCTTGCTGCTTGGTCTTTACGGTACTATTCATAGGACTTTCTTGTTGTTCTGTTGATAGGGCTTTCTGTTGCCCCTAGGACCTCTGCATTTAACATAACCAGTGTGCAAAGCTTTTCACTTCCATCTTTGTGCATAGCTATCTCCTCCTTTTAGGTCTTAGTTTCAATCTGTGAGCCTGTCCCTGGTCCACCCTATCCAAAGTAGGTGTCACAACTTTCTTTAGAATATAATAATTACTATAATTTATTTTTTGTGTGTATTTATGTAGTGGTTGTCTCCTTCACTAGACTATAGGCTGTGTAGAGAGTAGATTATTTTATTCTCCATTGTATTCATTGGACTTAGCATAATGCCCAATGCAAAACAAACACTTAGTAAATGTCGAATTAAAATGGATTTTTCCCATTTATTAATACTTCATTCCGTATAGCCATCACATCCCACCTGCACTGTTGCCAAATCATCTTCATAAGGAAGTGATTTTTTGAATTGGCAGTCCATTGCTCAAGGATACATGCTAGTTACTCATTTATTACTATATCAGATCTCAAACTATTTCTCTTTGACATCTAAGCAACTCAGCCTCTTCACTCCTCAACAGTCAGTCTAGGATTCCTCAGTGTCCCCCACACATGATAATAACCCACCCTCAAAGCTATTATTCCTGCCCATAGCCTAAGAGTGTCCTCCTTTCTCATCACTCATTCATGTAGTATAGAGATGTAGAGTGCCAGCTGTGAGCATTGGGCCAGAACTCTGCTCATTCTGTATGTTAACATTATGACCTCACTCAAGTTACTTTTAACCTGCGTTACCCTCAATTTCTTAACTTGTAAACTGTTGATACTACACAGGAATGTTGGGGAAATTTCATGCAGTGAGCAAGACTTAGTGCATATGATGAGAGCTTGGTAAATATTGGTAATTGTTCTGCTCATTGATGAAGACCCACCTCCAACTCTGCCTCTCCAGAAATCTTTCAACTTTTTCAGGCTTCAAAGAGTCAGAGTTGTTGAAGTGCTTATTTTAGAGTATTACAGAAGCTTCCAAGGCCTAATGCTTTTCTTAACTCTGCAGGATGTAAGTGAGAGCCAGCATGTAGGGTTTAGAGGAAGAAGACTAAATGGAGCCAAGAGATTGGAGTTAGTCTTTACTGGGCTCCTCACTAACTTTTTGACTCTAGTTCAGGCAAATCACTTTACCTATGTGGGCTTTGGTTTTCTCTGCATTAAAGTAAATAAATTCAGCCCTGTAAGTGTTTAGTACTTAAAAATAAATAATCAGAAAATGAAGACAACATGACAACTGAGTCTTTTCCTTAGCTGCCTAGTACCCTTAAACCTTAAAGGTAGAGCATAAGGTCTTCTGGGAAGAACATAGCCACTTAATAAGAGAGAGATACACTGTCAGCTCTGCATTGTTTGGTAATGGAGGACAAGCCAGACTTTCAGTCTTTTTAAGAAAAAGACATACCTTCTCTTAATGGAGCTGCAGACTAGATGCATTATTATAGGCCTTTGATATACTTTGCAAAGTCTTGTGAATTCCCTTAGTGAGAAGTACGTGAGTTATGAGTTCCCTGTTGCTTTTGCAAATGATATTATCACTATGCTTTGTTTGTATCTAGGATCCAAACCAAGCAGATGAAGAAGCAATGACACAGATCATCCGAGTGTCCTAACCCCATGACATGTGATGGGGCTGATCAAAATCATGTTCCTCACCACTGCTTCCCACTGTTCCAGGAAACTGATCAACTCTTCCGATGGGACACTGACGATCTCATTCTGCCCTTTTCTACAGGACAGAAACCACTTAGTTTTTAATGAGTGGCTCAGTATTATAATTGCAGCGATGTCTGGCAAATTGAAGTTGCAAGCCTTTGTCTCACCCTTTGAGTCAGGACCTATTTCAGACTGTCGATAATACTGACATTTCATGGATTAGGATGGTGCAAGGGATCCATGCCAGCCCAGCGTACCACATACAGCACTTACGTTGACTGGTGAAACCAGCCAACCATCTCAGCAGGGGAGAGCAACCTTCTCAACCTAAACTGCAATCAGGGAAGCCGCAGCCTATCCCTTCCCATGGAATCTAAATGGCATCCATCCTTCTGATGGGAGCTCTCAGGCTGACTAACTGAATGGACACTTTGTATTCAGAGATGGCTTCCAGGCAAGGAAGTTCCATCTTACGATATGGAAACAATAAATTATCTGAGATATAGTCATCTAATCTGTGGTTATAAGAATCTCTGTCTGCCCAGATGATAGGTTGGTATTTTTGGACACCAGCCAAAAAAATGCTAACTCTGGGGATAGAATGATAAAAGACTGAAGCACTAAAAATATAAATTGCTGAGAATCCTTTTTTTTAGTTTTGACAAGTAGTGGTCTGCTTGTCCATCTGTTGACAGGTCATATGGACCATAGTTCTTACTATGGCAACTTTCAAGATAATTAGAGATCTTGAAACTGCCTTTCCTAAGTAGAGAACAATTTAACGTCTGTGCTGAAATACTGAAGACATTTTGTAGTAACTCCTAAACAGAGAGCCAAAGTAGAAATTTTCAATCATAGGCATTGTGACAGCATTTGGGGAATAGACAGGTTCCTGTGTGATTCAGTCTAGAAGAGAGAATTGTATTTATAAAGCTATGTTGTTATAAAGCATGATTTTCCAGTGGATGGATGCCTGGAATGGATTGTTAAGATGAAGAGGATAATTTACATGATAACCTTTATACAAGCATGGAAAGGGAGAAGTCTAAGATTTGGTTCTTGACAATTTCTGGAACATACTGTTCAATCAAGCTGTCCTGAACATACTCCAGGTCACCTGCTAGAGTTTAAGGTGGATGTTGGCTTCACTCCTGCAGCGCTTTGTGCTGGCCTCAGAAAGCGAACATTCTCATTCTTCTCATGGCAGCTGATTTTTGGTGCCAGTTTCCATGTGTTTCCCCTTTTCTCCACCAGCCTTGTGCAGAAAGGTTTTCACATTGCATCCATGTTCTGGGGATAAACTACAGACTGGAAATAGAGATGCCTGCAGGGTCAGGAACTGGGCCACAGTACCCAGAATCGGTTGTGCCTCAAACATCTGTTCTAGATGTTGAACCCTGGAAGAACTAAGATGATATTTTAAATGAGTTGCTGCCTTCTCTGGAAGCAGGAGGAGAACCTAATTCTTTTGACGAACATTTGGGTTTGATTGAAATACCACAAGTAAAAATTGGCTTTTTCTTTGATTTTGCTCTAGTTTGTATTAAGAGGAAAGAGACCTGCTAAAGAAAATGTCACAGAGGGAAATCATTGTAATGCTAGAAATTGAGAAACGGAGTTAAGCAGAGGCACCCGGAAGTGAAGGTTTCTTCCTAGTTCCTGGAATCTGGTCATCTGTCCTGGCTTCTGGATGTCAGTAGGGACCAATGACCTTTTATAGGCTCACTAGAAATTTCTTATTCTATGTGAGTTTGAGATGATAACTTAACCCAGTAAGCCCCATGTCTTTCAGATGATAGATTACTAAAAACAATGAGGATGGAAAAATTTTTATACCCCTTGGTTTGTTTTAGGAGTATTTAGGATGAGAGTTCAAAAAGAAATTCTTCATACCTAATTTCTAGTCAACAGTTCTTAAATGCTATTTATTTGTGTAAGTTTGTACATAGTAATACCAGCCCCATAATGTAGGATGTATTTTTTTTTTCATGAGTTTGATTTTCGTTTTGTTTGAAATGAAATGCTTCTGTTGCATTTCAGATAGCCCATGGCCCTTTAATTGTGGTCATTTTTAAGTACACCATTATAAACCCACAAAGTAGAGAGTTGAGCTTTGGATTTTTCTTTTGTTTCAGGTTCTTTTATTCACTTGTACTTGTGACTGTAGTGATGCCTTCATAGAGAAAGAGTGAGTGGATTAGAGAATAGTTGTTTAGTGTGTAGTTATTTCAGTTCTTGAACGCTTTTTTTTTGCAGGATAATTGTAAATGTATATATTTTAATTGCATTGGTACATTGAACATGTTAGTTTCTATACCACTGGACCAACAGTTATTTCTGGATATTGGGTGCCTGATAATAATGTCTTGATTTTCCTTTGGGACTCAAATATATATATGTATAGGTTTTCCTATATATATATATAGGTTTTTCCTCCACTAGTAGGGGGAGTACAGGTGATGGATCATTGATGTCATTGCAATTGTTATTTTTTAAAATAAAAGTAAAAATACTAAAAACTGAAGTCTACATCCTGTGTGTTCTAGGTTGTGTCATAATATCAAAACACATCAAATCTGTAGTGTCCAGGCCTTCTAGCTCTATCACCTTCTTTTTTGGTCTTCCTACTTGAAATTATTTTCTGTCACCTGGGGCTAATTTGATCTTTCTATTGGAAATGTTAATCAAAATGTGAAGTGATTTCATGAGTAAAATTGGCCCTTTTCTTAATTATCACCAAAACAACCTTGATTTATTAGGCATATGGAAATACAGTGAAGACAGAATTTTAAAATTTTTTTAATTTCTGCAAGAACCTAATAATACTTCTTCTGATTGTTAAAATCCACAAAATGCTCATCCTGTTTTCCATGAATCTAAGTAACAAAGACTGCAACTTCAAACGTGCACCTATCTATAGCAGACAACCGACATAGAAGAAAGCCCTCCCTAACAAAGAGACTTAACTTAGTCTGGCAATATTAAGTTTTGAAGCCATCTTTATTTTGCCTTTTTTTTTTTTTTTTTTTTTCAGTCAGATGCTAATGGAACTTCCCCTTGTCAATTAAGAGGTAGCCCACGCTTCTACTCCGGTGTGTGAGGCGATGTCACCTTCCTGACAGTGATCCCGCCGAGGGGTCCACGCTGATTGGCTGGTGGGAGGGCCCAGGCAGGGCCGCCGCTGTGGATTGGTTGCCAGGCAGCAGGGCCTCCTTCCGGTGGCTCGGCCGGCATCCCCGCCGCCGCCATGGCGAGCGGTGAGTGGGTGGTGGCGCCGCCCCTGTGGCCCGTGGAGGCCCGGTTGGCGGCGCTGCTCCCGGATCTGTTAGTCTTCAGGAAGCCCGGGGGATCGGAGCCCGAGCTCGCCACAGCCCAGGGCGTCCTCCTCGGCGTCCACGTGACGGGTGAGGGGCGGCGCTGCTCTCCGGGCCGGCGGGGGCGCGGCGGTTGGGCTCCCCCCGGGCCTCGGCGGTTGCGCGCCCGGGCCCGGCCGGCTGAGGCGCGGCTTAGCTGCGCGCTGCCCCCGCGCGGCCGGCGGGGAGTGCCCCCCGCAAGTAGGCGGGCCCGGGGGCTGAGGGGACTTAGCCCTTGAGGTCACTTCAAATGTGATGAAATTGAGGCTCAGAATGAGAAACTTTTCCGGGGCCCCATGGCACAGGCTTTGAATCCAAGCTTTCTCCTGGCCCCGAGCATTTTCCAGTAAACATTGCCTCCTCCAGTTACTGCCTCGCTGGGGCGATTCGTCCTTTGGTCCATTCGCCTGTGCCCGCTGTTGTCCTAGGAGTTAAGGAAGGTTCCAATAACTACTTCGCGAGTCCTTCATTTAACCACTATTGGTGGAGTTCGTGGCATGGTTATGAAGATGAGTGAGAGAAGTCCCTGTCCCCGACGAGCTCACCTTGAATTCTCCTTAAAGCGTTAATCTATTCGCCTTATCGGCGGTTTCTCTATCACTCACGCAGAGGAACCCTATAGTTTGGCTTCTGGGTGAATCTTCACTATTTGCAACTCCTGGAAATGAGGAGAGGATGGCCCTCTGGTTTCCCAGAGGCAGCCGTAGCTAGTCTGCTCTTGAAAACGTTCTAAGAACACCATTTAAAAGATAATGGAATGACTCGTCACAAAAATAATAGGGCCGAAAAGTTTAGGATTGCAGTTAACATGGTAATTTTTGCTTTGTTGGTCAGGGTTTACAGCATTAATGGACAGGTTCAGCCTGACATGCAAGTCAGAAGATCACATGGACAAACTGGCCCACATCTTCAGTTATTACATTAGTGACATCGTGGAGCGTGAGTGACCACTGTAGGGGAGCAGGGAGGTTTGGTGTAACAGAAGGGAACCTGGGGACTTTAAGAGTCGCTAAAGGGTCATTCCTTTAGTATTACTCATTTTTATTTCTTCAGACTGCCACTGACAAGCTGGATCTTTGCCTTACCTGCCGTTCTACCCAGTCTCAGCTGTGGTTTCAGTGTTCACAAAAGGGAATAGAGAGCTCTTTTAATTTTTACTTTGCACATTTGTCTTTTGCTTCAAAATGAACTATTCCGCAGGTTCTCTTCTAATAGTAATGTAAAGCACCTTATGTGTGCATATCACATATATTTTATAAGACAAAACACCTCATTACATTATTGTGTTTTGATCCTGTGAGGCAGGAATGAGTGTTTATTTTCTGCCATGTATTGAGTTTGTGGATACATGCCTGATCTGGAGGGGGGAAATTTATTTGGGTAGCAAACATGTTTTGAGTAATAAATACTCTTGTGACACACACACACAGTGATAGGTTTGTGGAGGGAGCCAAAATCTACTATTGAGGAGTTTTCAGACTGGTCAGTCCTACTCTTGCTTCTGCCCTTGAATTGTTACCTATTATTCCCTTCCTTTACTGACAGTGCCATACAGTCATGTCCACATTCCGGAGGTTGACCAGAATACTTTGTGATTTCACCTTTAGGAACATATTTATTTGACTCACCCTTAAAAGTTCTCAGTTTTTCTCATGACATTTAATGAAAAAGGCAGATAAAAAATATGCAGAACATAACACCAGAAATTTCTGGATACTTGAAATACAGAGGAAAATAAGACAGGGTACCTGTCCTCACGAAGTTTCCATTTTAGTGGGAAAGACAGATAGTAAGTAAACAAGATCCTTATACATTATACATCCTATAAAGGAAATAAATGGGATGTAAGGTAAATTGTAGGGTAACGAAGGGCGGTTCTATATAGATCTATATAGATAGGGTGGTCATAGGAGGCTCTTCTTAGAAGATATTTAATTAAGCAGAGAAGAAAGTGTTTAAAAGATGGGAGGAATGCCTTGTGATGAGCTAGGGTAAAATATTTCAGACAGAAGAATGCCAAGTACAAAGGTTCTGAGATGGGAGAAACTTGGTGTGTGATCTGGGGTCCAAGAAGGCCAATGTAACCTACAATGTAGCTAGTAGTGGGAAGAATGGCTTAAAGTAAGCTTGGAAAACATGAAGTTCTATAGGCCATGTTAAGAAATTTGCTTATTTATTTGTGTGCTGAGGGACACTTGAAAGGTTCTAACAGGGAAATAGTGTGATCTGACTTTTTTTTTTAAGCTGCTTTATGGAGATTGGATATAGATGCTGATGGGTGAATAGGTGGTAAGAATGGAAGCTGGAAGAGGCAATTAGAGCAGTTGTGGAGAGAGAAGATGGAGGTTTGGTCTACAGTACTGGTTGTACCTTAAATCACCACTGGAGAGCTTTTATTTTTATATATAATTTTTTTTTACAACATTTTCCATTTTTATACAATGTATGCATTTTCATCTTGGTTATAGTCCCCGTGAAATTCCCACCACCCATTCACCCATGAACTATCACCATGGTCCCTTGTGCTCTTCCCACCCTTGTTTTGATCCTCCTCCCTTCTCCCTCCTCCCTTGAAGTATGTCTCTGGTTTATAGTTACCTGTTGGTTTTGATTTTTTACTTTATTATAATTTTTTCCCTGGCCCTTTATTTGGTCCTCTACATTCCTCTTATAAATTAGACCATCTGGTATTTTTCTTTTTCTTTCTGGCTTATTTCACTGAGCATGATCCCTTCCAGCTCCATCCATATTGCTGCAAATGGCATGAGTTTATCTTTTTTGATTGCTGGGTAATATTCCATTGTGTATATATACCACATCTTCTTCATCCAGTCATCTATTTTTGGACATTTGGGTTGTTTCCAAAGCTTAGCTATTGTAAATAGTGCTGCTATAAACATAGGGGTGCAGCACACTCACTCTTGAAGTGAAGCATGTAGCTGAGTCAAGGACGAGTCGTTAGTCCCGCACAGCACTGTGGGAGCTGATGGTAGATTACCTATTGTAAATAGTGCTGCAGTAAACATAGGGGTGCAGGTGTCCTTTTGAATTAATGTTTTTGTGTCCTTTGGGTAGATACCTAGGAGTGGAATTGCTGGATCATATTGAAGCTCCATTTTTTGCAGATTGAGGAACCTCCATGCAGCTTTCCATAGTGGTTGCACCAGTTTGCACTCCTACCAGCAGTGGAGAGCTTTTAAAAATCCTGATGTCTAGGGTTTACCCCAGACCAATTAAATCAGAATTTCTTGGGGGCAAGCCTAGCATTTTTAAAAGTTGTACCAATGTGTAATCAAGGTTGAAAAAACTGGTATAGAGATATAGCAGTGATGCTCTGTGTATATGGATTGATTTGTAATCTCTTTGGCAGGTTCAACACATAGGATTTGTTGGTGTATTGAATTTCAATGTGATGTAGTGGTGTTTGTTTTTTGACCTTCATAACTGAATTGATGGTGGTGTCAAATCAAAATGTGTATCTGGGTTTTTTTTTTAGTTTTTTTTTTTTTTTATGTACAAGAACTGGGGTGTAGGCCAGCAGTGTGGGGAGTGAAAGGATTCACCAGAGACAGAGTAGGAAGCAGAACAGGCAGATCTACTGAAATACACTGCTATGGGGAGCCGTGGTTGAGACAGGAGAGGTCTGCTGCGCCTTACACAGTGGCTGGCCATAGCTTGATAGCACTGAGACTTTAACCCCTATGCCACCAGGGAAGCCCAAGACTGGGCTTTGAGAAAGAAAAGCAAGGGCGCTTGATATTTTTAATTCATTAAGTTTGAGATAACAGTAACTCATTCAAATAGAGCAATGATTGGGCCTGAAGCTCAGAGAATAGATACCTGTTAGTGATTAAAATAGGAGTTGGTTTCACTTATAGGGGGAATATAGGGGAACCAAATAAGACATCAGGGGAAAAAAATAATAACAATGTAAAACACAACAAAACAAAAACAGACAATTAAAAACCAGAGACATCCTGCAGGGGAGGAGGAGGGAGAAAGTTAAGATCAGAGGGAGGGAGGAGGGAGCGCAGGGGACTGAGGTGATGGTGCACAGGTGAATTGGTGAAGGAAATTCTATGGGGACTAACCTGAGGCGGGTGGGGGGGAGATAAAAAAAGCAAATGTTGTTTAAAAATGAACAATGATGTAAAATATTGTAGATGGCAGGAATGGCCACT